CACACTGTGTGCCTGGCACAGCAGCAGCCTTCCTGCCCCACAAGGGCCTGTTTGTCCCAAGCACCGGGTGACCAGGCCTGCTGGGCACTGGCTCTGCCCCCAAACCCCTGACCTGTTCAGAGCTGGCACCCTAGGCAGCCCTGGAAGAGGGGCCAGGTGGGCAGAGTCGGCCTTGCCCCACCTGGAAACGGCCCCTGTGCCATCTCTGCAGCCTCTTGCCTTCCTCAGGAAGCTCCTGAACCCACTGAGGGGACTCCTTGAGGGTCCAGGAACCTTGCAGCAGCTGGAGGACCCCTTGTTTGGCCCACCTGTCCTGTGCGTCCAGGCGTTTGAAGCACCCAGTGGGTGCCTCATTTGTTTATTTAGAGAGAGATCTTCCATCTGCAGGTTCACCTCCCACGTAGCCACAGCAGCCAGGCAGAAGCCAGGAGCCTGGAACTCCAACTGGGTCCCCCACGTGGGTGCAGGGTCCCAAGGCCCTGGGCCATCCTCCACTGCTTTCCCAGGACACAAACAGGGAGCTGAATGGGAAGTGGAGCAGCTGGGACACAAACCAGCGCCCATGTGGGATTCTGGCGCATGCAAGGTGGGGACTTGGCCACTAGGCCACCATCCCTGCCTGTTTTCAGAAGGAGGAGCTGAAAGCCTCGAGCTCTTGCAGTGCAGGCGTGCACTGAGCGCCTCCTCCCTGACGCATTAGCGGCTGTGAGAACTCCACACTGAGCCGGGCATCCCCAGGGAAGGGACAGAAGTGGGACCTTGTCCAGGAGCTCCTGTGGCCATCTGACCTCGCTGTGGCCTTTGGGTCACATTTTGCAGAAGTCTGTCAGCCAGCCCCAAATTAAAAACGAGAGCCGGCGGTGACATCACCACCCCTTCCCCCCAGGGGAGCGTGTCCTCGGCTGCACTGATTTTTCTGAATTAGTGGTGCATGCCAGGCCCCACGCTAGGTGCTTCCCATCTGGAAGGGCTCCTTTCCTTTGCTGTCACCCAATGAATGGGCCAGGAGCAAGGCTTGGCGGTGAGGGGAGGGGCCCTGCAGGGGGAAGCCACCCAGTCTTGGCCAGCTCCTCCAGTGCGTGACAGGCTGGGGGCGTGCACCCAGAGGCCGCCTGCTCCCAGAGCCCACCTGCCTGAACCCAGCTCCCAGCAGCTGGGCCTACCCTGCTTGGGGGTACGCTAGGGCCTTCGGAGAAGGGGGGTGGGCTTCTGCTGCAGGGGGAGGGGAGCCACCCGTGCCCACGGCAGTGCTGGACCTGCTGGGCCCGAAGCCAGTGGGAACAGCCAGGGCAGGGCCTGGATTCAGGTCCAGGGCTTCCTGGCAGCCACGTGACAGAGGGGCGGGCAGGCAGCCCGCATGGGGGGAGCCCAGCAGCCAGCCCACCCCGAGTTCCTGTTTTGAAGGAAAACCTGTGCTGCCCAAGTAAGCCTGGGCCCCGTGCCCCCTGGCACTTAGCTTCCTGTGCCTGGCAGTTCTGCCGTTCCTGGGGCTCCCTACAGCCTTGCCCCCTCTGTAATCTAGCCTGCAGCCTTGCCCCCGGCTCCCCCACTCCCCAGCCGCCTGTGCAAGGGCACTGGGATTTGCACTGGAGACGGCCTACCCCAAGCTCATGTTGGGGAGTGGCGGGCCCAGGTTCAGCGCTGGCTTGGGGGGCTAGTGGAAGTCAGGCCAGACTGCCTGCCCCAGGTCAGGGCTGTGAGCAGGGGGAGGGCGGGGTGTGTGACACCGGGTGGGAGGGGAGGGAGGCAGGGCCTGGGCTCTCCGCTCTGCTTCCCAGGCAGGATGCTGTGCCGAGTAAACATGTGGACAGGAGTCGCCAGCGCATCGGGCTCTGAGTCACCGTGCCTAGTGACAGGGCCCGATGTTTATAAACAATGCGCGTGGCCGCCTGGGGCACGCCCCCACCTGGATGGTGAAAGGGCCACCTGTCCCCTGCTCGCCCTGCAGGGCCGGCTAGCAGTGCGGCATGCCCACAGGCGTGTGCCCGGAAGTGTCACGTGGGGTGAGTGGCTGCCCGGGCGTGTTCTCTGTGGCCGTGGTGGGCAGAGCAGGGGCACCGGCTGTGAGACTGATGCTGCAAGCTTCACACACACACACTCCCCGGGCAGGGCTGGTGTGCGAAGGCGGGTGCTGGCAGGGCTCCCCCGCGTGTCCAGGAACCCAGCCCGTTCCAGGCAGTGACAGTGAGGCGTGAAGCACCACATCATGTGGCCACTCAGGGCTGGCGGGGAACAAAGGCCCAGCTCTCCCTGGGGCAGCAGGGACCACGTGGGCAGGAGGCGGGCTGGACACTCGTGGGCCCGCCTCCTTGGGGCTCCCAGCTTTACTGAATCCAGCCTCCTCCCGGCTAACTCAGCTGGATTCAGAAGCGGTAGGCCAGGATTCAGCCGAGGCAGGAGGTGTTGGGGTCACAGAAGGGAAGATGCTAGAAGCTACTAGGCTCACGCATCTAGCCACCTGCTTCCCTGTTGGCTGCGTCCCCTTGTCTGCTCTAGGAGCCAAGCTCCAGCCAGCAGGCCACCTCAAATCTGGCTGGCCCTTCTACAGCAGACAGCCAAAGTCACACTTTGCCAACAGGGCTCGACCCCAGGCCCCCCTACCTTTCCCCACCCCCCGCCCCCATCTCCTCAAGAATGGTCCGGGTACCCCAGGACTGCCTCCCTCCTTGGATCAGTACAGACGCTGCTGCCCGCTGTGCCAGGGCCTCCTTGGGTCCCCAGACTGCAGGGAGCCCCAAAGCCTACAGGGAAGTGGACCGAAACCTGAGTGGCCGCCTGCCTTCTCAGCGGCTCGCCCTCACCCAGGCAGACCCCGGCCAGCTTCCTAAACTTGCGTGAGGACGGTCACCAGCAGTGGCTGGGCAGCCGTGTGGTACCCGAGTGAGTGCAGCCACAGCCAGGCCCATACCACAGATGGCGAGATGCCAGGGGTGGCAGCTGACCTCCTTCCCCACCACACTGCTTGGGGGAACAGGGCCTGTGGAGCGGGCAGTGGATGGGCTGGCAGTGGGGGTGGTCTGGGTGATGTTGCCGTGGTAATTAATGAGCATAAGTAGGCAGGGACTTGGCGGCTGTGTGTGGGGGTGGGGCAGGGCTGCTCTGCCAGGCCCACGTTTCTCTGAGTCCCCCACACACCACCCCCGGAGACCCCTCATCTCAGGGCTGTCTCCAAAATCCTTTCTTCCTTGAAAAAATAAATAAAAGAATTCTCGTGGGTGAGAGTTCAAGGTCACGGGCTCTGGGAGGGGAAGAGACCACAGAGGATTTCAGTTTGAAGACCCCTGTGGGTGCCTCCGGTCCTGCCCTCCTCCCAGCATGACAACGCAGGAAGGGGGTGCATGGAGACAAGGAACCCACCTGCAGGGGGAGGGGGAACACCCCCGGCACAGGAGCCCCATCTGCTGCTTTCAGGCCGAAATGCCCCCTCGCCCCACAGTGGCCCTGGAAGAAGATACGACGTGCCCACAGAAGGGGTGGGAGGCCGCAGGGCGCCAGCCTGCTCGAGGGACCTACATGCCCAGCCAGGGGCTGGACGTGCCCCTGGCCTGGACCTCGCCCTGGCATGGCCGGACTCTGGGAGCCATGGGCCCTGTGACAACAGCTGGCCCTGGTGCCCCCCTTGAGCTCCCAAGCACTTCTCTGTGTCTATTTCATTTTATTAGACGAAGACAAATGGATTTTCCATTTGCTGGTTCACTTCCCAAATGGCCACAACATTCAGGACAAGCTAGGTGGAAACCAGCAGCCTGGAGCCCCAGTGGCCAGCAGAGGCCTAAGCCCTTGGGCCCAAGGCATGTGAGTGGTGTGTCCCAGGCAGCACCGTTCCTGCCTCAGGCCTCAGAGCTTATTTTGGTTTTGTTTTTATATATTTAGTTTTACTGGAAAGACAGAAAGATCTTCATCCTTTGTTTCACTCCCCAAATGACTGCAATAGCCAGAGCTGAGCAGATCCGAAGCCAGGAACCAGGAGCTTCTTCAGTGCCTCCCTCGTGGGTGCAGGGTCCCAAGGCTCTGGGCCGTCCTCCGCTGCTTTCCCAGTCCACGAGCAGGAAGCTGGATGGGAAGTGACGCAGCTGGGACACACACTTGTACCCGTGTGGGATGCAAGTGCTTGCAGGTGGGGGATGCGCCAATTGAGCCTTTGTGCCGGCCCCTCAGGCCTCAGTTTTTCCATGTGTCAAATGGGTGCTTTAGACTAAGTCCAGTGGCTTCCAAAGTCGGCCTTGCAGCAAGATGGGAAAAACGGGAATCTGCTAGCACCTTGTTCTTTAAGCGAGGGGAGGAGTTTCTTGTTTTTTTATGAAAGAGAGATCTTCATCCACTGGTTCACACACCCCCCTCCAGATGACCGTAACAGCTGGGGCTGGCCAGCCTGAAGCCAGGAGCTTGCTCCATGTCCCTCAAGCACCTGAGTCCTCCGCTGCTTTCCCAGGGGCATCAGCAGGGAGCTGGATCAGAAGTGAAGCAGCCAGGACTCGAACCAGCGCCTGTGGGTGGCCTTACCTGCTGTGCCACCATGCCAGCGTTGGGTACAGATCTCACCCATGAGAGACCTTTACCCCAGTGCCGTGCCTACCTGCGTTACTTTTGGCGGTGTCTTTACTGAAAGGAAGGTAGTGGTGCTGGCTTTTTTCTCCTGCCCTCCTTGGTCAGAAACAGTTGGTGACGCTGGCTTGAACCCCTGCCTGACTGCCAGGGATGATGGAAGAGCCGTGAGGTCTGCCCGGCTGGGATGCTTCCAGAATGAGTCAGTGAGTCCCCCTGGCAGGTCCCCCACCACTGCCAACCGAGGCCCTTGGGTCCCAATCCCTGTGTCTGCTTGGCCGGGGAAACGGGGGACAGGGCCTGTCCCGGGGGCAGCTAGGCCCACCCAGGAGGGACAGTTCCAGCCAGAGTCCCAGACAGCTGGGACAGCACCCAGCCTTGCAGTTGGTCTGTGGCCTCACACGAGCGGGAATTCCTGGCCCTGCCCGTCACAGCAGTAGGTATGACAGCCATGCAGGTGTCAGCAGACCTAGGCACTCGGCTCCCCCGGGGCCGGCGGCAACTGGCACACCAGCCGAGGGCCTCCCCGGGGAGCCCCGTCTCCCCACCATGGCCCGAGAGGCAGTCCAGGCCTGTCCCAGGCCTGCTGCGCCCAAGGCCAGGAAGGGCTCCATGTTCCTAGCTGCTTGTGTCTCCGTGGTCACAGCCCGGCGGCGTGCGCTGGCCCGCCAGGCAGCCCCCCGGAGCCAGCTTCTCTCACCAGGTCCTCTGCTGGCACTAGCCACCCAGGTGAGTTTCCAGGGCAACCGGGAGAGGCTGGGTATATCCCCCAGCAAGCTGGGACTGGGCAGGCTGGGACCGGGTTGGCAGGTGGCTTCTTTGGCCTTCAGAACTGGTCGAGGGAGTTTGGCTGGAAACGGCTTAGGGAAGTTCCCATCTCCAGTTGCGGGCATGAGAGAGGAGGCCCGGGCAGCAGTGCCGGGGACTCCTGTGTGTGTCCACTCTGACTCGCCTCCCCTTCTGGCCCATCGCCGGTGAGTGAGGGTGGGGTGCGAGGGGGGTGCTGCGGTCTGTCTCTCTTTGCCTGGCCTCTCTCGGATGGCCGAGGCCTCATTTCTCATCTGCTCTCCCGAGCTGACGGGGACACTGCGGCTCTGGCTGCTGACCCCAAGAAAGACAAAGCCGAGACCTGAACCGGCAGGTGTTGAGAGGGTTGGCCACTTGGGCTGGGTCGGTCATCGCAGGCTCACCATGCATGCTGTTGGTGGGGAGTTGTTTATTTTAGCTTTTGTTTCTAAGTAAAACTTTAAATGTTAGTTTTTCTTATAGTTTCATTTTGCTAGACAGAGTGATAGAGGGAGAGCTTCCATCAGCTGGGCCACTGCCCAGATGCCCACAGCGGCAGGCACTCCACACGGCAGTTTAACTGCTTGGCTGCCACGCCGGGCCCTTCCCCCTGCAGCCTTGCCCTGGCTGAGCGTGTGTGAGGAGCATGGCTGGCAGGGGGCTGCAGGCACTGGGTGGGTGCGAGTGTGTCATTACCTGAGTGGGGGCCTTCAAGCCGGGGATCAGCCAGGCCACCACCCTTGGCATCGGCGGGCCCACGCGTGTCCACGACGCCCTGCAGCTGTGAGAGCAGCAGCCCCATTTCTCTCCCTGGGGACAGTGCTGATCATGCTGACTTGCTCCAAATGCTTCTCCAGCTCAGAGGAGGGCAAGAGGGGGGCAGCGTTGGGTCTTGAGCTCTGGTTTCTATGACAACAGCCCTGTGCCCACTCCTGGCTGACCCGGAGCCTAAGGCCTTGGTGCTCCTTGCTCTGCTGCCCTGGGACGGCCCTTCAGGGCTGAGGTCTGGGGGCAGAATGAGGGCACTTGCCTCCACTCCCCGTGGTCTCTGGCTGGCCGGTCCTGACCTGCTCCAGCCGGAGCGGCTGGGGAAGAGGGTGGAGTTCCAGCAAAGCAGGAGGCGGAGCTGGGCTCAGGAGCTCCCAAGGTTAGCCCCGTGCGTCACTGCTGCTAAGGTGTGTGTGGTCATCCGCCCACACGGGGCCACCCCAGGTCTCAGGCAGGCCAGGAATGGTGAGGTATCCCTGTCGGGAAGTGACCCAGGGGCGTGGACAGGCCACACCCTCAAGCAGTCCTCCCCAAGACCCTAAATATAGAACACAACAGAGTAACCTCCACCTGCCCACAGAGGTGAAAGGTTTGGTGCCAGAGCCTGAGCAGCTGCTTCCAGGCTTGCAGGTTGGGAGGGACGAATACTCAGCGGTCACCTTGTGCCCGTCCCCACCGGGGGTCCCACATACCTGGGATCCTACACAGACTGGCCTGGGTCCTGACACCCCGGAAGAAGGGACGCCTGGCCAGCAGTGACCTAGCCCCAGACAGCATGGACAGTTCTGTGGGTGCCTCCTGGGATGTGGAACAGAGGCCTAGAGGTGAACATTGGGGTCACACTGGACAATTGATCTGCTGCTTAAGGACAGTCGGGGTGCCAGGAGAAGGTTTGGGGGTGAGTTCTTGGGGCCAGAGAGCAAAGGACTGTGAAAATTGGGCCTAAGGATCCCTTTCCCCTAAGTGGGAGTTGGCAACTTGGGGGGTGGTCTATGATTAACCAAGCCGTAAGCACCCCCCGACACAGAAGGGGACGCTGCTGCTGAGTCAGCTGCCGGCTGCCCCCCACCCCCGCCGTCACAGGCCGGAATGCAAGCCCGGCCCCTTCAGGTGGTCCGCGGTTCCAGGAGCGGACATGTGGATTTTCATATTAAGTCACCTGACCTTTTACTGTCGGCTCAAAAGTCGAAAAACATCTCATCAGCCAAAGAACACACGTGCGTGGGCCTGGCCGGGCCTGGGCCTCGGCGGCACTTGGGGGCCACAGCCTGTCCTGCCGGCGATGCCCCCAAAGGAGGAAGGGGGCGTGTGTTCCCAGGGCTGGCCGGGAACCGGGCGGGGAGGAGGAGGTACCCCGAGAAACCCCCACTTCCGGAATGCTCTGTGCTCCTGCGTCCTTCCCAGCAGACTGGCCAGCACCAGGCTTCCGGTCAGCCTTGATCTTCAGAGTCGCCCAAGGTCAGGCACAGGCTGGCACCAGCCTGAATGTCCCTGGTTGTAGGGATGCCCAGAGAGAGGGCAGACCAGGACCCTGACTTGGGAGTTAGGGGTCCTCTTGTTAATGGCCGCTGGAGGGCTTGTATCAAAAGCTACACTTCTTTTGTTCTTGGCACTTACACACACACACACAGCGCTGAAGACCGCCACCTGCACAGCCACCACCGGCATGGGCAAGGCCTCGCTCCATTTTTTGTTATATAGTGATTTTTATTTTTCACTATTGGTTACCTAGTTGAAAAGGATGCATGCCCATGTGGCCTGTGATAAGGGTTGAGGTGTGGAGGGTTGGGTGAGATAAATCTTTTGTCTTTTAATTTCTTTTAAAGATTTATTTATTTTTGTTGCAAAGTCAGATATACAGAGAGGAGGAGACAGAGGTACATCTTTCATCCACTGATTCACTCCCCAAGTGATCGCAACGGCCGGAGCTGAGCCGATCCAAAGCCAGGAGCTTCTTCCGGGTCTCCCTCGCAGTTGCAGGGTCCCAAGGCTTTGGGCCGTCCTCGATGGCTTTCCCAGGCCACAGGCAGGGAGCTGGAAGGGAAATGGGACAGCCGGGATTAGAACCGGCGCCCACATGGGATCCCGACACGTGCAAGGCGAGGACTTAGCCACTAGGCTCTTGCGCCACTGTGCTCCAGGTTTTAATTGTTTAATTGGGGGGGGGGGGGGCGGAGCGAGGACCACTTCTTGCTGTCAAATTACAGATGGTTATTTGATGTCGCCTTGGAGCCCTGCAGTGGGGAGCAGTGTTCCAGGGGTGACCAGACCCACTTCCGTTGCACCCACAAAGCCAGACCCTTGCGGCCAAGCGTGGCCAGGAGAGTTGTCTGACCTGTTCTGTCCGTCTTGCTGAGGAACTTGAGGTCCACTGTTGGCTCAGAGGAGCTGGCTGTCGTGTGTGTGTGTGTGTGTGTGTGTGTGTGTGTGTGTGTGTGTTCCCTCTTGCACGGGCATCAGCAATTGAGGCGGCTGGTTATTTGTTTTTATTGAAAGGCAGATATATAGAGAGAAGGAAAGACTGAGAGGAAGATCTTCCATCTGATGATTCACTCCCCAAGCGGTCTTTAGCCACTAGGCTACTGTGCTGGGCCCCAAGGCTAGGGTTTGGGTCCAGTGGTCTAGTTGGGGAGCCCCCCGAGAAACTTCAGCCATGGTGACCTCAGACTTGACTCTTGTGTGTGGCAGCTAGCACAGGGTCAGCTTCAGTTCGTCACCTTCACCAGCCAACGCAGCTGCCTGGTCAGTTCTGCCCCAGCCCCACATGCACAGGGGGGCTGCGGCCTAACTGAGCCCAGCCCACCACAGGCCTGGCTCTCACACAGCAGGTGCCGCAAGGGTCACTTTCCATTGCACGTGAGAGTGGATTTGTTGGCCAAACTGGACTGTGTGTCCTGTTTAAACCCCCACGGTCTGGGATGTGGGACCCATACATGCACGCATGGCAGGCCCCGTCCCCTGGGATGTCTGGGGGCCCTGGTTCGGATTTGGGGTTGCTTCAGGGTGACCTCATCCGTCCCATTCCCCTCTCCTTTAGGACGGCCTTGCCCTGGGTCAGGGTGGACCCACAGCCTGGGAGAGGGAGGGTGTGGCCTTGTGGCAGCCTCAGCCCCTGCAGGCTAAAACACCCCCTCCCCCCCGGAAGTCAGGAGCTTCCCCTGAGCCCAGGTGAGGTGACCACCAGCGGAAAGGGGGGAACCATGGAGCTGGGCTTTGCTGGGACCTGGAAGTGTGTGTGTGTGTGTGTGTGTGTGGTGGGACAGGTACGCATTGGGGTAGGTGTGTGTGTGTGTGTGTGTGTGTGTGTGTGTGTGTGTGTGTGTGCGTGTGTGTGTGTGTGTGTGTGTGTGTGTGTGTGTGGTGGGACAGGTACGCATTGGGGTAGGTGCAGTGGACTGCCAGAACCATGAGTAAGACTGCCTAGAGAGGGGAGTCCCCAGGGTGGGGAAGGGGTGCTGACAACAGCCAGAGGGGCTGGCGAAGAAATGAGGGGACTCCCACCCGGCCCCTCAGGCCAGGCCTGCCCCACTCAGCTTTTCCATCCCCACCCCCTACTGTGTGCCTGACCTCCAGACCCACCTCTTGGAGGCAAAGGAGAGGAAGCCAGGCAGGTGCCCCAGGAGCACCCTTCGCAGCCCTCCGGGGAGCCCCACCCCAGATGAACCCGCCCCTTCGGCGTTTCTGTAAGCAAACAGTTCTAACTGTTACTATAATGTGTAGGATTCCAAGAGGGGGAATGCAAAAGCAATACGGCACCGCCCAGAAGGTGCCTCGGTTCCGCAAAGTGGACCCTACGGGTGGGGGAGGGAGGCACGGGGCCCAGTGCATCCTGGACCCTCGAGGAGGTGCCTGGGACAAGTGGGGAGGGGAGGGCGGGTTTCAGATGCACAAAGTGAGGCCCAGTAGGACAGGCTCGACTTGGGGAGGTGGGCGACACTGGCTGCGTTGTCGCCGGCCATGGCCGGGCAGTGGGCTGCCCGTGGGGAAGGGCTGTTCTCCCCGCCTTCGGCTCCTGCTGGTTCCCTCCAGGGGCCCTGGCTGGGCCTTCAGCAGCCTCCCTTCCATCCAGAAGCCGCGGGTGGTCGCGCTCCCAGCAGGGCCCGCCGGCCTGCGCTCTGACCTGGCGCTCTAGCTACAGTTGCACCTTCCCTCCGGCAAGCCCCGGCCCTAGAGATAACCCTCCACCTGACTGCGTCTCCAGCGCCTTCCAACCTGGAGGGTCAGGGCTCCGAGGGGCGGGGTGCAAAGGCCGTCCCACCCCCCACCCCGGCGCGCGGGACTCGAGGCACACGCGTGCACAGTCACGCAGGGTCACCCTCCTCCGTGCCGGTGCGCGCCCCTGTGCGCAGCGCGCCTCCCTCTCCATCAGGCCTGGGGAGAACGCGGCCTCGTCCTGCGTGGTGAGGCCTCGGTGCAAGGCCACAGGGCTCCGGGCGGCGCTGGCGGGGAGGTGGAGCCGAGGCCACGGGCGCGCAGGCCCCGAGAGCCGGGGCGGGCACGCAGGCGCACGCACCGCCCACGCCGCGCGGCCCGGCTCCTCCCTCGGGCTGACCTCGGCGGGGGCCGGGCGGCGGGGGCCGGGCGGCGGGCGCTCCTCCCCCGGGCTGACCTCGGCGGGGCCGGGCGGCGGGCGCAGAGGGCCTGCAGCGAGCCGCCCCCGCCACCGCCGCGCGCCGGGCCGGCCCCCCGCGCGCCCGCCGCCCGGCCGGCCGCCGCGAGCCGTCCATGGTGCAGCGCATGTGGGCCGAGGCGGCCGGGCCTGCGGGCGGCGCCGAGCCGCTGTTTCCGGGCTCCCGGCGGAGCCGCAGCGTGTGGGACGCCGTGCGCTTGGAGGTCGGCGGCCCCGACAGCTGCCCCGTGGTCCTGCATAGCTTCACGCAGCTCGACCCGGACCTGCCGCGCCTCGAGGTGGGTGAGCGCGCCGGCGGAGGGGGCGGCCTGAGCGCCCGCGTCGTCTCGGTGCGGGGGTTGGCGGCGGGGCTGGAGGGCCTCCCTCCCTCGGCGGGGCTCGGTGCTGTGGCCCCCCGGAGGCAGGACAGGCGAGGGGCCGCCAGGCAGCACGCCCGTCCCGCTGGAGAGGGTCCCGGGCTGGTTCCGAGCGCCCCTCGGGGCCGCCCCGTGCGTGCTGTCGCCCAGCCCAGGTGTCAGACCTGGTCGCTGTGCGCAGGTAGAACCTTCCCCGCCGCCCCCCGCTGTGCTGATGTCCCTGTGTGTCAGAGCTGCCACTCCTCCCCGCCCGGCCGCACCTGTCGCAGGCCCCCCGCGTGCCCCTAGGGCTGCAAGGGCTTCAGGACACGGTGATGACGGTGGCAGAGCTGGGACCCCCACCTTCCCAGGGAGACTCTGAGCCGGGGGCCTCCCAAGCCCTTGGGTGTGACTCCCTTGGGCTTGATTAGAACATTCTCGGGCCGGGGGAAGACCCGGGGTGCGGGGGAGCGTGTGGCTGTCACAGGTGGAAGTGGGGCCGACCGATCCCCTGACGGCTCGGCCGGGACTCTGGCTGCTCCCGCCCCGGCAGGGCCCTTTAGCCTGTCGGCCTGCCCTCCTGCTGAGCCTGGGCGTGAGGGCTGGATGGAGGCTGTCCCTGGGGCAAGGGGTGTGGAATGGCCGGGGTACATCACGCCCGGCCACAGCCTGGGTCAAGCCAGTCAGGGTCCCTGCGACATCGCCCCCAGCGTGGCCATGAGTGACCATTGTCAGCTCCAGAAGGGAAGTGGGGGGCGGTTGGTGTCCACCTCGAGTCTGTGTCCCACAGGGCCTGGATGTAAAGTGTGTTTTTCCATCTGGCTTGATTGGGGGAATCTCCAACCTGCGATAGCGTTTCCTCCCAGGCCTGGCAGGCGGCTGGACCGAGCTGTTTCTGCGACCTACCCCCACCCCCACCCCAGCAGCGGCCTTCCTCGTTGGCAGCTGGAGCCGGACCCCCTGGGAGCGAGGGGGTGGGCGGCCTGACACTAGCCCCGAGTTCATCTGGCGCTCATTATGTCTGGCAGCGCCCAGGGCTTTGTGTGCAGGCAGCGGGAGGCTGGGCAGCTCCTCGGCCAGCCGCGGCCAAGGCGAGCTGCGCCCCTGCCCCGTCGCTGCCCGGCGTCTGCCCTCCGTCCCTCGCCCGTGGGATCCAGCCCCACTGCCTGCTGCTTGGAAATCAAAGGGGAAGCTCCTGGCTGGGGCAGGAAAGCCAGAGTCCTGGCGGGAGAGGAGGCCTCTCCCGGAAACCACACACAATGACCATTGAGCACGGGGCCGGAGGGGGGGTGGGAGAGTCCCTGTCCCTCCTGGGGCGGCCTGCCAGAGCCACAGCCCCTGTGCTGTCCTTTCTGGAAGCTACCAGGCAGTGTTTGCCTTCCCTCCCCCATCCCCGTTTTCCTGCAAGCCTCCGCCCAGTCCTTCCCTTTTTCTGCTGCCGGAGGTCCTCACACATCTGGCCTCAGCCAAGCCACCCCCCCTTCCCGGTCCCACCCGGCCCCTTGCTTTTTGGTGGTCTCCGTGGTCCACCCGGACTCCATGCCCGGCCAGGGCAGCTTTCAGAGTCCGCAGGCCCCAGCCACCTCGTTCCGTCTGCAGAATGGGGCGCCAACTCAGCCTTCTAGGAGACAAAGAGGCAGGGTGGTGAAGCCCCTGGCCCGAGCACACACAGCCAGGACTTGGAGGGGGCTGCAGGGGCTCCTGCTGCGGGCAAGGGGCAGCACAAGTCAGAAGCAGCATGGATCCCAGCCGAGCCAGGCAGGGTAGGGGGGAGTGGGGGCTGCGTGTAGCTCAGAGGAAGGGCAGAGAGGGCTGTGGGCCGCTGAGCAAATGTCCAGGAGGAAGCGCGGCCCACGTCCGCCACGGAACCCCGAACTGAACACAGCTGCCCCCCAAGCCAGCGCGCAGCTGTGGGGGAGGGGGAGAGATGCCAGGCTGGGCCCTTCTGCCCACATGTGTCGGGTGGCGGTCAGGATTATTAATAAGCCATTTGACACGTGGAACAATGCGGCCACTCGGGGTTTATTAGCTTGCAGTCACAAGCCGGTCAGCAGCAGAGGCGGGCGCTGACCCCAGGTTGCTGGGCGCAGCTGGGGGCGGCCGGCGGGATCAGAGAGTGACCCCCCCGGCCTGCTGCCTCACTCCCACCTGTCTGATCTCACCGTGTGCAGGCCTCAGGTCTAACCTTAGGGCACATGAGTGCCAGGGGCACCAGCCGTCCACAGGCTCGGCCCCAGGGGTCTGCACCTGAGCACAGACGTGTGGGGGTGGGTGTGTGTACCGTCTTCTAAGGGGGCTCCCTGGATGCAGCCCCCAGGACAGGAGGAGGGGGGTACCCTGGCCAGTCTTGGCTCTTCCTGACTTTTCAAAGGGAGTGAGGGGAGGGCATGGATGGGCCCAGGAGGTGTGAGACTGCTAGTGGGCAGGACTGGGGTGCAGTGACGTGGAGGAAGGGGGGTCCAGTCTGCGTATCCCTGCCCTGTGCCTGGAACACGTTCGGGGGGGCTGTTCCATCTCCCCCACCCCCATGCTGCGGGCGGCTCCTCAGCAGTCAGCCGAGCCGTGGTCACCTTGTCCCTGCGTGAGGCTGTCCACCTTGTAGGCCCGGACGCACCGTGTTCCTGGCCGCGCTAGGAGAGCTCTGGCCGCGCTGCCCACTCGGCCCCTCTGCACCCGCGTCTCCCTCTGGACGCCTTCACCCCCTTATCCTGAGAGGGGCCTGGTACCAGTGCCCCTTCAGGGTCCCACAGGAGGCCCCTGGTGTTAGAACGAGGCAGACAACAGCCTGACCCGTTGCCGGGGGAGTGACAGGCCCAGTCTGCATGGTGCTTCTGAGGGGCTTGTCCCCGCCACCCAGGACACGGGCGTCCTTCCTGGAGATGCAGGTGTGACAGCTCTGCACCTGCCCAGTCCCCGGGGTCCTGCTGTGTGGCCTCAGGAAGTCCTTCCTGTCTGTGGCCCTCCCCCAAGTCTGTGCAGTGAGGAGCCGGAGTCCACTCCGAAGCTGCGGTGTTGGTGGCGGAGGCAGCCGGCAGGCCTGGGTGTGTCCCTGCCCCGGCTGTTGTGTCCTGCGTCCCCTTCAGGGCCCAACTGCTTCCCTGGGTGGCCCACCTGCCTGCCTGGCAGAAGCGGGTCATGAGTGGACAGGAGCAGCAGGGGGAAGGCCCTGAGAGGCCACAGCCGGACAGGCTCCAGTTGCTGGAGTCTTGGAGCTTCTTGGTTGCCATGGAAACCTGCTCCTGAGGTCAGGCAGGCCTAGGGGTGGGAAGCTGCCCCTGCTACAGCAACCCAGTATAACCAGGCTCGTCGGCACCGCCCCCCACAAGCTGTGTGTCCTCTGCCACCCTCCACATCACCTGCATGGAGGGTGACTGCTACCCCGGACACATGGAGGCCTCTAGGAAAGACAGGCCGCGGGTGTCCTGCAGTGAGTCCGTGGGCCAGGTCCACCAGGTCCACCCATGTCCACCAGCTACACGCCAGATCCCGGGACGATCTCGGGCCTGTGGAAGCTTCCCCTGACTGGCTGCTCTGCGTGCAGGCCAGTGCAGGACAGAGGAGCCCATGGCTGCCCAGCCCTTCTCCCTCTGCTGTTGTCCCCACGGCTGGGAACACTGCGAGTCCACAGGACGTGCACCTCAGGCATGGGGAGCTGGGCCACAGGGGCGTTGAGGACCGGGAACGTGCTTCCCCAGCAGGTCGGACCGCCAAGGGGCCCAGGGACCAGCCTGCAGCCCCCTCCCTCCCTCAGCCAGGCTGATCAGGTGACACGCCAGGCCAGAGCCACCACCCCGGCCTCTTCCGCTCCGCGTGCAGGGACACCAGGTGGCTGCCCAAGGGACAGCAGGGCCCATGCCACCCCAACCCCTCCCTGCATTGGCCTGCGTGTGCTCAGAGCCCCAGCTGCCACTGAGCCCCTCACCAGGCCCGGCCTGCATCTTGCCCGCAGGAGCTCTGGCCCGAGGACAGCAGCATTCCTTCCCCCAGCAGGCCCCGCCGCCTGGACGCCCGCCCTGGGTAAAGGCGTACTCTGCATCCACATTACAGGCCTCTCCCACCCAGCCTCCTCAGCCAGGCCCAGCGTGGCCCCAGCGAGGCCCCAGCGTGGCCCCAGCGAGGCCCGAGTGGCTGTCCCCGCTGGTGGTAGAGGGTGGTCCAGGCGGCCTGCGGGGTGGCGGGGCAGAGCCCATGGTTCTGTGCACTTCCCTTCTCCGTCCCTGGAACGGGGTGGGAGCAGGGAGGGGTCTCAGCTACAGACAGAGCCCTGACCTGCCGTTCATACCCACTGGAGCCCTGGCTGTAGGACAGGACGCCGATACCCCCGGGCGTGTGCCTGGCGCCCTCACCTGTACCCCAGGCTGGCACAGAGGGCCCCGTCGAGGCTAAGGGATCACATGACGGCCTGGCCAGGGTCAGCCAGCTGCTAGCTGGCCTAGCGGCCAGCCGTCACACCCAGCTCCCCGAGCCGCCATTGTAGACACTTGCTCAGGGGCCAAGGACGCACTTCCAGCCAGCAGGCACAGAGCAAGCCCCTCCACCCTGCGCAGGCGCTGTGGGGGCAGTGTGCTGGGCCCTTACTCAGAGGGTCCAAGTTCAGGGTCTTAAACCTGGTGAGTCACGACCACCTGCCACTCCCAAAGACTTGGCTAGGCCAGATGTGGCTAAACCCGGGGAGGGGAGAGGAGCCCCCTTCCCCGCAGCTGAGCTAAGGCCCCTGGGAGGAGGGGAGCCTGGGAGGGATGCAGGCACGTGCCCCTGAGCTCTCCGGGTGTGTGGTGGCCTGGAGTTCCCAGCTCCTGGGGTTCCTAGTTCTGCTGATTTCTGAGAAATGCGCCAGGCAGAGGAACCCCCATTTCCCCAGCAGCAGCAGCCCAGCACTGTCAGCAGCCTTCCCCTGGTACAGGGCCACAGTGGGAGGGTGAGCTTGGGTCAGAGGAAGTGTGCTTCCGGATGCCTGCCCACCCCGAGAGAGGGGGCAGCAGGAGCCCTGATGGCCAGAGGACAGCCCAGCGCACACTGGGCCCCCTGCCCAGGTCTTAGACGCAGGTTTGCAGCTAGCGCCAGGCTGAGGGTGCGCTGGCACCTGTGCCGGCCCCGAGCCCTGACCACTCCCTGTCTCAGGCCGGCTGCTCGCCGTGGCGCCGGGCCACTCCTGCACTCTGGGAGGTCCGTGTGGTCAGACCCCACGCCTCACAAGCGCCCCCTTCCCTGGGCAGCAGGAGATGTGACCTTTCCCCCCTGAGACAGAGGGGGCTTTTCCTGTCGCCGGGGGCAGGAAGCAGCTGTGTGGGGTCCCGTGGTTTGGGGGTTCACATCGCCCGCCGCCACCCCGTCCCGTGCTGAATGTGTCAGCAGCTGGGCACTCCTCTGTGGCCCCGCGGAGCCCGGGCATGAATGAGCAGAAGGGGAAGGAAGTGGCCTTGCTTGTGACCGCTGGGGACGCCCCACACCTGGCCCGAGCGCATGATGCGAGCTGCAGGGCTCCGCCTGTCCTAGGGGGCTGCCTCCGGACAGGGGGCGGCCGTCCGAGGGGGCGGACCAGCAGGAGGGAGAAGGTGACCTCGGCTTGGCTCCCCGACGCGGGTGGCCGGGTGGGGTCCTTCCTCACCCGTGGCGGCCCGACCTCTGTCTTGTCCGTCTCTGAATAGGATCGCGTGGTGGGTCATCGTGGGGGTGGGGGTGCGGCGGCCTCGCGCCCTCCCCGTGCCGCCCCGGGGCTGGCGGTCATGGGGCCCGCCGGGCGCTGTCTCCACAGAGCTCCACACAGGAGATTGGCGAGGAACTGATCAACGGGCTCATCTACTCCATCTCGCTGCGCAAGGTCCAGCTGCACCAGGGGGCCGGCAAGGGCCAGCGCTGGCTCGGGGTGAGTGCGGGCCCCTCCCGGCCCGGAACCCCAAGGGGCCCACGCTGCGCCCAGGTGTCCCGTCAGTCCCTCCCCCCAGCCTCTCACCTCGTCTTGCCCTTTACGTGCAGAGGCCACTGGTCAGCACACACCGCTTGGGCACCTGCAGTGTCAGGAACTGGGGTGTGGCCAGGCCACGGCGTGGTTTCTACCAGTGGCAGTTCAGCAGAGCTACAGGAAGTCCTGTGTGTCCATCACCGCCCCCACCACAGCAGAAGCTCTTATTTTCCCATCTGTAGAATGGGAACATGGCCCAGTGCCCACTTAGACACAGTCCTTCATATAGCAGCCATTCGTTGGCCGCTGCTCTGCTGACGAGCTGACCCACAGGCCCAGCGCAGAGGTGTGGTGAGCTGCGCCTCTGCCTGCAGCGCTGGCGTGCCGTATCAGAGCCCCAGTTCGAGTCCCAGTCTGGCTCCCTAGCGACGTGTGTGGGAGCCACCCAGGGCCGGGGGTGTGGGTCTCTGCCACAGCCTCCCCGACGCCTGCCGCTGACCGCGCCTCCTCCCCTGTCCCGCCCAGTGTGAGAACGAGTCGGCCCTGAACCTGTACGAGACGTGCAAGGTGCGCACGGTGAAGGCAGGCACGCTGGAAAAGCTGGTGGAGCACCTGGTGCCCGCCTTCCAGGGCAGCGACCTCTCCTACGTCACCGTCTTCCTGTGCACTTACAGGGCCTTCACCACCACCCAGCAGGTCCTGGACCTGCTGTTCAAGAGGTCAGTCTGCTCCTGCCGGTGCCCAGGCGCGTCTGAGCACCCCCTGCCCGCCTGCTGACCGCAGGGGCCGAGTGGGAGGAGCCATAGAAAGCCCAGCGGGCTGCCCTGTCCTGAGCGTGGCCACACAGATGCCTCAAGAGGGACTGACCCACTGAGCGGACAACTGGGAGGCCCCTGTGGGTGTGGGACCCCTGTCTAGCCCTTAGCACCCCCACCCGCCTGGGGCTCCCCTGTAGCGGGCATTGCCCAGTAACACCAGGCGTCATGAGCAGGTACGGTAGATGTGACGCCCTCACGGCCTCCTCTAGATACGGATGTGTCCTCCCGTACTCCAGCGAGGACGGCGGCCCCCAGGACCAACTCAGGAAGTAAGTGGCCTGGGGGAAGTAGAGGGGTGCGGCGGGGGGCAGGTCGGAATCAGCCCAGCACCCACACTTCCTGCACTTTCCATTCAGGCGTGATAGGAGGGCAGAGCCAGGGGATGTGGGGACCCCAGCCCCCCGGAAGCTGCCGCTGGCAGGGGGTCTGCCCTGTCCCATCTCGGGCCTGACTAGGCAGTGGGGAGCGACCAGCTCGAGACCCTGATCAGCACGGGCTTAGCTGGCCCTTGGTAGGGGAGAGGGGGAGTCTGGCCCAGGGTCGGGGTGCAGGCCGTCTTCCCACAGGATAGCAGTGCACGCCACACGTGGGGGAGGACAAATAGGTCCCATTGGGAAAGGGGGGCAGCGAGCAAGCATGGGACTCCCCTGGGGGACAGGAAGGGTCCCCTCCCACACAAGTCCTGGGCAGCCCGTTTGGTGACCTGGCTGCCGCTGTGTGCACGGCCAGGGGGGCTTGGGCTGGGGTGCAGACCATGTGGCCAGAAAGACTGGGCTTCTCAAGTCCTCTGGTCATCTGCCTACCTGCCCCCAGTGCCATCTCCTCCATCCTGGGCACCTGGCTGGACCAGTATTCGGAGGACTTCTGCCAGCCCCCAGACTTTCCCTGCCTCAAGCAACTGGTGGCCTATGTGCAACTCAACATGCCCGGCTCAGACTTGGAACGCCGTGCCCACCTGCTCCTGGCCCAGCTGGAGGACCCGGAGCGCGGTGACTCTGAGCCCGAGGGTGCGGAAGGCTGGGCTGGGCGCCTGGGAACCGAGCGGGGCGGGGGGGTGCTGGTTCCTTGGTGTGCACTGACTGGGGGAGTCTCTGGATGGCAGGGGGTGGGGACACTCCGAGGGATGCTGGGAGAAGGAAGCTGTGGCATCATTGGCCCTTCTCCCCCCACAGCTCTGTCGCCAGCTCCAGTGCCCACCCTCAGACCCCCTCCAGAGCCAGCTCCGGTGCCCACACCCAGTCCCGAGCCAGCACCAGCTCCAGACCTGGATGCAGACCCCGCCCCCGTTCTGGAACTCGAGCCAGCGCCCGAGCTAGCCGCCGAGCTGGAGGAGGTCCTTGCTCAGACCCTGGAGCTGGACGCGGCCTCAGTGCCGGCTCCGTCCCCGGAGCCTGCCTGGCCCTTGCCTGTGGCTGCCGAGGACGGGCTGGGCGAGGAAAGGCCTCACCTCCTGGTCTTCCCGCCCGAGCTGGTGGCCGAGCAGTTCACACTGATGGACGCGGTGAGTGGCTCCACTCCCCGGGGCCTGCCTCCCGGCACCTGCAGCCCAGGCTGGCCACTCCCAGCTCTGGGTCTGGAGCCACAGTCTGTCCGTTACTTCTTAAGTTAAAGCTACTTAATGCTGAGTCCCCTGAGGACAGAACGGGGGACCACCCCACACACAGCGACTGTGGGGTCTGCCCAGCACACAATAGGCGCCTAGTTTGTACACATGCGCAGGGGCCGAGTCTGCACTTGTGTGTCTGGACGGGGCCGGTCCTACTTGACTTGGGCAGGTATAAGCGTTTGGACTCAGCCACAACCCCTGGTCCCTATCTGCTGGGCAGGGACCCCACTGCCACCCCTGAAAGGGTCCAGCCGCACCCTCCTGTGCCTTCTGGGCTGCGACTCCAAGTGCAGGACCCCAGGCGGGCGCGAGGGTGGCCGCTGAGCTGTGACCTGGCCCACAGGAGCTGTTCAAGAAGGTGGTACCATACCACTGCCTGGGCTCCATCTGGTCACAGCGGGATAAGAAGGGCAAGGAGCACCTGGCGCCCACCATCCGTGCCACCGTCGCCCAGTTCAACAGCGTGGCCAACTGCGTCATCACCACGTGCCTCGGGGACCGGAGTATGAAGGCGCTGGACAGAGCCCGGGTGGTGGAGCACTGGATCGAGGTGGCCCGGGTATGCCTCAGCAGGGGCCGCCCAGAAGCAGCTTGTGCAGTCCTGGCGCCCACCCAGGGCCCGGGGCCCTTTGGCCTTGTCCCAGCTGCTCGTTCCTCCCACCATGCTGTGCTCAGGCCATGCTCCCCCCGGGCCACAGCGGGGACGGGTGGACACTTCCTCATCAGCTCCCCTCCCCGTCCCCCAGGAGTGTCGGCTTCTCAAAAACTTCTCGTCTCTCTACGCCATCCTCTCCGCTCTGCAGAGCAACTCCATCCACCGGCTCAAGAAGACCTGGGAGGAGGTGTCTCGGTAGGCGCCCTCGCTGCCAGCGCCCTGGGCAGGCCGGGCACACCCCAGGGCTCCTTGGACCTGTGGAGTCCCGAGCGTGCGGGCCATGCTGGCTCAGGCTCGGTTCCCTTGTCACCCCAGAGGACCCCCGGGGTTCCCATCGTCTCAAGGGAGCCCCCTCCCAGCTCTCACTTGCCCCCTTCCGCCCCTGCTGCAGGGAGAGCTTCCGGGTCTTCCAGAAACTGTCAGAGATCTTCTCGGATGACAACAACTACTCCCTGAGCCGAGAGCTGCTCATCAAGGTGGGGGCGGAGGCGAGCTCGGGGGCTTGTGGGGCAGCCGGAGCCCCTGGGGAGCTGGGTGGGTGTTGTGGGGGCAGCCAGGCTGTTCCAGGAAGGACCCGGGAGCCAGCAGGGGTAGCGGGTGTCCGGCCTCCCAGCCACTGTCTCCCACCGGGACTTAGGTTCCTCGAGACTGTGAACACCACGCCCCAGTACCCATGGAGTACTGGGCAAGCTTCTGCCCCTCTCGAGGCTCCCACACCCTCCTCTGGAAGTTGGAGGGGTAACAGCCATGGGGTGCTAACCTCACGAGAGGGCCCAGAGAGGAGAGAGTCATGGGGCTTCTTAAGCCGGGTCCCTGGTGGGCAGGACTCGGTCAGCAACAGGAGCAGGGGTGTGCCACCCCATCCCCGGCTGCCCCGAACCAGGTGTGGGAACAGTGTAAGGCAGCCGGGGTTCCGCTCCAGGGAGCCCCACTCACCCCGTCCTCCACCCTGGCAGGAGGGCACCTCCAAGTTTGCCACCCTGGAGATGAACCCCAAGAGAGCCCAGCGGCGGCAGAAGGAGATGGTGAGTGATGTGGGGCGGCCAGGCAGGAGCCCCTGTGTGTCCCCAGAGGGCCATGCCCTGGGCTGGCCACCTGGTCACCCGGGGCACCAGCTGTGACCCCTGGAGCCGACCTGGCAGAGCCCCGGGGTGAGCAGAAGCCTGCCCCTGCCCCGTCCTGGGCACTTGTGGACTGCCAGCCAGAGAGGTGACCAGAGAGACCGCAGGGTCAGCAGTGGGGCTGGGGCAGGGGAGGCCTGGGCAGGGGACAGGACCCTGCTCATGACCCCCAACCCTGTGCCACAGGGTGTCATCCAGGGCACCGTCCCCTATCTGGGCACGTTCCTCACTGACTTGGTGATGCTGGACACGGCCATGAAGGACTACCTGTATGTGAGTGAGCCAGGGCTGGGTGAGGCTGGGGCAGGGTAGGCCAGGACTGGCGGTGGTCACCGCACTATAGCCTCCCGCTTAGTGTGGGCATCTGCACACTGCCCCCTGGTGGTACAGCGTGGGGCAGGGCAGCAGGGGGCCAGACCTCCTGCTTAGCGCGGGCATCTACACACTGCCCCCTGGTGGGCATGGCTGGTGGTACAGCGTGGGGCAGGGCAGCAGGGGGCCACTCCAGTGGACACTTGGTTTGCCTTCCAGGGGAGGCTCATCAACTTCGAGAAGAGGAGAAAGGTGAGCCCTGCAGCCTCCTCACTTCCTTCCCCAACCACCCCCCTTAGATTTACGGAGACCCTGGGAAGCAGAGGAAGGGAGGGGGACAGGAGGGAAAGCAGCAACCCCCAAGACAAGGACCACACACAGCACCCCGTCCCTCCTCCCAGGAGTTTGAAGTGATTGCTCAGATCAAGCTGCTGCAGTCGGCCTGCAACAACTACAGCCTGGCACCCGAGGAGCGCTTCCGGGCCTGGTTCCGGGCCACGGTGCGGCTCAGCGAGGCCGAGAGGTAAGGCTGGCCGGGGCAGCTGGGCCGGCCCGTAGGAGGAGGGGAAGCCACCTCCCGCAGCCTCACGGCCGCCCCGTTCCCTGGCAGCTACAACCTGTCGTGCGAGCTGGAGCCGCCGTCCGAGTCCGCCAGCAACACCCTCAAGTCCAAGAAGAGCACGGCCATCGTGAAGCGCTGGAGCGAGTGAGCACTGGGCCCGGGGGTGGGGGGGCTGGGGGGCTGGGGGGGCTGGGGGCCCGCCCCTGGCATCCGGCTCTGGGAGACAGGTGCCAAAGCTCTCAGAGGGCCAGCGCCCTCGGGCCCTCCCATGAGCCGCCGCTCTGTCCAGCCGCCAGGCCCCCAGCACGGAGCTCAGCGCCAGCGGCAGCTGTCACTCCAAGTCCTGCGACCAGCTCAGGTGTGGCCCCTACCTCAGCGGCGGGGACCTTGCCGACGCGCTCAGCGTCCACTCGGCGGGCTCGTCCAGCTCCGACGTGGAGGAGATTAACCTGAGCTTCGTCCCCGAGTCCCCGGACGCCCAGGACAAGAAGGTGAGGCAGACCCCCCACGCGCCGGCCGCACGCGTGTGCCCACAGGGCGCCCCGCGCTGACCGCTGGCCGTGCCGGCCCCGCCCCGCAGTTCTGGGAGTCCGCCTCGCAGTCGTCCCCGGAGACGTCGGGCATTAGCTCGGCCTCCAGCAGCACGTCCTCGTCGTCGGCCTCCACCACGCCGGTGGCCGCCGCACGGACCCACAAGCGCTCTGTGTCGGGCGCCTGCAGCTACGGTGCCTCGCTGCCGCTCTACAACCAGCAGGTGGGCGACTGCTGCATCATCCGCGTCAGCCTGGACGTGGACAACGGCAACATGTACAAGAGCATCCTGGTGAGCGTGGGGACCCTGCTGTCCCGCACGGGCGCGGGGCGGGAGCAGGCCGGGCAGCTGGAGCTCAGAGCGCTGGTTCCCCCAAGGCTGCTTGGTCCCCCGAGGAGCTCCGTCACAGCGTAGCAGACAGCCAGGCGGGGCAGCGTGAGAGGAGGGGGCGGGCTCTCGTAGGCAAGCAGGTGGACATGGGGTATTGGGCCATCCTGGCGACAGCAGAGGAAGGGGCCAAGACGCCGTGTCCACTCACCTGGCCCTGACGGCCTGGTCCCCGCCCCAACCAGGTGACCAGCCAAGACAAGGCCCCGACGGTCATCCGCAAGGCCATGGACAAGCACAACCTAGACCAGCATGAGCCGGAGGACTACGAGCTGGTGCAGGTCATCTCGGACGAGCGCGGTACGTCCTCCGGAGGCGGGCGGGGCGGGCGTCCTTCTCGCCCTCCCTCCCCAGGGTGCGGGGCCCTGGTGAGGACGAGCCTCAAGAGGTTCCAGGAGAAGCAGCTCCGTGGGATGCCCACAGAGCCCGGGTCCAGCCTGCCCAGGCAACCCAGGGGCAGGGAAGGGGACAGCCCAGAGCAGGGCAAGGGCGGGAGCCAGGGGCCAGGGTCTGGATTGCCACAGCTGTGTCACCAGAGGTGCCCAGGTCAGCAGCAGCAGCTGTGTGGGCAGCAGGGGGCAGCCCCGGGGATAGAGCTGTTTGTTGGGTTCTAACCAGACCTTCGTACAGCCTGTCCTCGGGCGGGGCCTAGGTGGCTCCTGGAGCCAAGCTGGGAGTCAGCGTGTGTGCCTCTGGTTCCCCAGGAGAGACCACAGGAAGCTATTCTAATGAGTACCCTCCCGCTCCCCTGCCCCCAGAGCTGAAGATCCCCGAGAACGCCAACGTGTTCTACGCCATGAACTCTACGGCCAACTACGACTTCGTCCTGCGGAAGCGGACCTTCCCCAAGGGCACCAAGGTCAAGCACGGGGCCAGCTCCACACTCCCCCGCATGAAGCAGAAAGGACTCAAGATTGCCAAAGGCATCTTCTAAGGACGTCCGCCCTGGGCCCGGCGGCCGAGCACGGACAGACCAGAGCGGCCCAGGCCCAGCAGGTGCCTTCTGCCTACCCGGCGACCCACCTGGACCCTCTCCCACGGCCGGGATTGATGCCTGCTGCCAGGCGGGCTGACCTGGCCTCTGCCGAGGACTACTCACTGCCTTAGGTGCCTTCCGCTCTCGGGAAGCAGAGGACCCCTCCGAGGCACTGCCCGCCGTGCCCTCCACCCCGACACCTTTCCAGGTGCAGGGGCACTGCCCACTTGCACCCACGGGCACTGGCCTGCCCCCTCATCCCACCACTCTGGCCTTCCTCAGGCTGCACCAAAGATGCCACCGTCATGGCCAAGTGAGAGAGAGGAGGGTCGTGTACCCAGCCCTCTCCCGGCAGAGGAGAGAGAGACCCCCACCCATGGACCACTCTCGTGGACAATCCCACTGGTGCAAACTCACGTCACTGCAAGTGCCACTCTCACCGCTGTGTCCCGGGCCGGGTGAGATCTCCCACGCACGACTGGGCTTTGCAGGGGAGGCAGATGAAGTATTTGTATAAAAAGAAAAAAAAAGTTTACCAATGGGGAGGGGGGGAACAATATTTATTTGATGTAAATAGTAAATGCTAGACTTGAATATTATATTAAAATGCTGTTTCTACTCTAGCTGGTGGCTGTGGTTTTATTCTTTGATATCGTGTGTGGGGGTTGCGGGGCCCTTGGTGCCAGCTCAGAAGGCAGCACAGTGCTGTTAGCCGCCAGCCTGAGAGAATGCCGTGCATGAAGCCACGATGGGTGAAGTCTCCAGGGCAGGCAGAGCGGTGGAGAGCGACGTGTGGCTTCCGCCAGGTCGTTAGGCGTCCGTGATGCTGCTTATTCAGCTCCGAGAAGCCCTGAGAAGCTTCCTGAAAACCCCCAGGAGGAGGGAAGAGATCCACTGAATGGGGAAGCGGACCAGAGGACGCAAGGCTCTAAAGTCTAATATCTGACTCTTAAATATTAAAACTACTAAACTTTAAGGTTAAAAAGTTAGCTGAACACCAGAAATAAGGCCAGTACTCGCTGTAAATATAAATGTGTCAAAATCACCAATTACATAGAGAAGCATGAAAAATTTTGAAAATGGAGGGAAACATTGCAAGAAAAATAGTACATCTTTTTTTTTTTAAGATTGATTTTTATTGGAAAGTCATATACCAAGAGGAGGAGGGGCAGAGAGGAAGATCTTCCATCTATTGAGTCACTCCCCAAGTGACTGCAACAAATGGAGCTGGGCCAATCCGAAGCCAGGAGCTCTTCCGGGTCTCCCACGCGGGTGCAGGGTCCCAAGGCTCTGGGCCGTCCTCGACTGCTTTCCCAGGCCACAGGCAGGGAGCTGGGTGGGAAGTGGAGCTGCCGGGATTAGAACCAGAGGCGCACGGAGCGCTCACGCCCACTGCAGCACAAGTGTTGGGCCGTTTGGAAAGGTGGAAATCAACAAGACGTGGCCGGACAGTCCGTCCAGAACAGAGCACAGCGAGGGATGCCGGTGAGATCGCACGGCAGTGAGAACAGAAACACAACATCCCAAACCCAGGGTGCGCGACCCGGAAGGACTGCAAAATTCCTGCCACCGGGTTCAACAACCCGACCTGCATGCCGCAAACCTAGAACCCAGCGCGTGAAAATGGGGCACCAGCCTAAGGCAGACAGGAGAAGCACGCCGACTCCGAGGGGCTGTGAGGACATGGCCCCTGCAGGGGGACGCAGGGTCGCAGGCCACCTGGCCAGGGGGTCGACGCGGGCACAGCTGGGCTTTCCCGAGGCCTCTGAGAGCAGCGGGTTATCTCCGAGCACTAGGCTTATCGTGTGGAATTAGGATGGCTGCCGGGACAGACGGCGGCCCGCGTGTGCGGCTGAATTCCAGCAGTGAGGAACCAAAGGCCGAACAAACGCCAACAGAACGGATCAACCAAAAAACAAAGAGAACCCGCAAGACCGAGAGTCCTTTCTTTGACAAACTTCTAGCTGCACTGGCGGAAAAAATAGACTCCAATGACTAACAGTTCAGATGAAAGAGGGCAAATTGGTAACTACTTTACAGAAACAGAACTATAAGAGAATGCACAATACTGGGCCCAGCACAGTAGCCTAGTGGATAAATCCTTGCCTTGCATGCCCGGGATCCCATATGGGTGCCAGTTCGTGTGCCAGCTGCTCCTCTTCCCAACCAGCTCCCTGCCTGTGGCGGGGGACCCTAATGGAGTTCCGGGTTCCTGGCCGCTGCCTGGCCCAGCCCTGGCCAAGCAGCCATGTGACAGGAAGGAGAGCCAGCAAATGGGAGATGCTGACCCTCTCACTTTCACTCTGCCCTTCAAATACATAAGTCAATCCTAAAAACAAGAGCAGTTAAAGCAGCAGGCCCCCGGGCTGCTTCCCGCGCCTGCCAGCGCACTGAGCCAGGCCAGGGACAGGCCAGACAGGCAAGGCAGACAGCAAGAGGCCAGCCAGGGACAGCAGACAGTCCCCACAGTGGACGGTGGGGACTGCTGCTCTGGCCCTCCCCTCAGCCGCCTCCTGCCCATCCCACGTCCTCTGGCTTCATGCCTGGGGCAGCTTGCTGGTGCAGTGGTCAAGGCTAAGGGAGCCTCATCCTGTGAATCAGGGTCCCCCACAAGCCCCAGCCCCCCAACCCCAAGCCCTCACCTGGCATTGGGTATGTCACACCCCTCTTCCCCGCCACACACACTCACTCACTCAGATTCTGTGCCTCCTGTCCACAGTGACACCGGTTCTGAGGACATCCTAGGGCCTGGGGACGGAGGGAGAGGAAGCGGCCAGACCCTGGATCCTCCACTCGACAATGAACCAGACAACAGACCAGGAGCAGGAAGCTTTACTCGGGAAGAGCTCGGGAGGGGAGGCGGCCGCGTGGGGTGGGGTGCCACCCTGTGGCTCTTTGGCGCTGAGGCTCCTGACACACTAGAAGCCAATGGCCACGGGAGCCTGAGCGTCCACGAGGAGGTCAGCGGGAGGCGTGAAGCCGGCCTCTGGGTCATCCGTGGGCGGCACCAGCACCAAGCCTGGGTCGTTTCCAATCACCGTGGGCAGCTGCTGGTAGGTGGTGGTCCAGAACTTCAGGAAGCTGGGCCTCAGGTACTGCCCCCTGGAGTCTTTGGACGTCTGCTTGTTGATCTCCAGGTAGTTGCCATTCTCCAAGGTGTAGGGCTCCCAGTGGGCAGGCACTTCCGATGTGCCCGTGTTGGGATCCCTACGGGACAGGGCAAAGCTGAGCCGTGTCGCCAGGGCCTCACCCCCAGCCCTGCAGGGCATCGGAAAGACCTCCGGGCACCGTGCCAGGCGCCCCAGAGCAGAGCTCCTTACCCGGTCCTGGCGAAGTTGGTCCAGTAAGCAATCAGGCTCTTGGAGACCGTCCTGTCTTGAGCCCGGTAGCCCAGGGGAGAGGAAAAGGGCTTCCCAAAGACGTACTGGAGGTCGTCAGCGTGGTCCGCCCCCATCCAGCTGGGGTAGATGGGCATCCGCGAGGGGTGCGAGAACAGGTACCAGTATGTCTGGCCGGTCCTGAGGCGGGGAGAGGAGCCCACCCCGGTCAGCAGGCCCTGGAGGGGGCCGCTGGGGGGCAGGCAGAGCAGAGCCAGGGGAAAGCTGAGGTTGTCACCCCTGGCGAGGGGTACACGGCCTCCTCCCCGAGCTCTGTACAAGCTTTGCTTCCCTTTGTTGCTCAGCCGGCATCAAGAGGCAAAAAGGAAGTGCACCTGGACCGCGCCCCTCCACCAAGGAGCCTCACCTGGCGTGGCTTCGGTGCTGGGCCAGGGCCACCTCCGTGGGGATGAGGAACAGGATGTCCGTCTCTATGTCCACCACCGTCCTCTTCTTGTTCTCCTGGCTGGAGTCCTGGGCCCAGGACTCGGTGTAGGCGTTGTACACGGCCTCGGCCCCCGCAGTCCCCTTGGTGACTGTGAAGCCTCTGACCAACTTGTAGAAGTCCTCGCTGGGGGGAACCAAGGAGGCACTGGACCCCACCGTGGTGCCAACAGGAGGGCATCGGCGCAACCCCCTCCCCTCACTGTGCCATCTGCGTCCAGGCCAGTGTGCGCCCTCGGCTCCAGCCGCTTACTCTGACATGTCCTTGCTGGACTTGTTAATGACCGGCACGTCAACAGAGGCGAAGAGGTGGCCGTCCATGTCATTGGTGCCCGCCAGGTAGTCGATGTCGGCGGCGTTCTCGTACAGGTTGATGGGGTCGTCGGGGAGGAAGTCTCCGTCGACGACGGGCATGAAAGCCAGGTAGTACAACACGGGGTCTGCGGGCGGTCCAAGGCTCAGCGGGCTCCCCACACTCGGCCTCCTCACGGCCTGCTGCGGTCAGAACCCTCCTGCCTGCCCTCGTCCCAGCCTGGGCACCGTGGGCGTCGGGGGCAGGGCAACTGCAGGCCGTGGGGGCGGAGCGGCGTCCCTGGCTCCACCCTCCTGAACACCACCAGGAATGTCTCCTGCTTATGGCACCAGTGTCCCACAGCGGAGTGCTGGGTCCCATCCCGGCAGCACGAGAGCCACAACGGATGGCCGTAGGTCCCTGTCAGCACCCACGTAGGCGACATGGACGGACTCCCAAGCTGCTGGCTTCAGCCTGGCCCAGCCCCATGGGTGCAGCCATTTGGAGGGCAATGTCCCTGATAGAGATGGGGTAACCGTGACCCCGAAGGAGAGCGAGGAGGAAGGTCCCCACCCTGGGGACAGGGCGTGTGGCTGTGAGCTGCCTGGGGCTCCAGCCTCAGTCCAGAATACCTTGGCCCCACGTCGTGCCCCCACATCATGCCCCTGGCCGCCCACTCACACTCTGTGCCCCCCAGGGGCAGCCTGTAGGCCAGCGTCAGGGCCCGGGGGTCAGTGACCTTCAAGCAGCCGGCCATCTTTGCTGTGTCGTCCAGGGGACAGCCCACCTTTTCTGCAATCTGGGGATAGAAGCCAGGTGGACATGTGGAATTCAGGATGGGGAGCAATTCAGGGTTCGAGGCGTGGAAAACGAGCTTCCTGCCCACCCACCCCACCCCCACGCCTCGCCCCTCTGCTGACCTTCTTGGCCCAGAAGAGGGGGTCCTTTTGAATGGCCCAGGGGCTCAACGCCACCCCGCTCTGGCTGATGGCACGCCGGATGAGGCCCTTGTTGTAGGGGGTCAGGGTCTGTGACACACAGAGGTTCTGTCACCCAGGCTGCACCTGGGGCTCAGCAGCAGCCCCACCTCCCCACCGCGGGGGGTCCCCAGACCTGCAGAGAGACACTAGCACCCCCAGCTGATTCCCCAAAGAGGGTGATGTTGTCAGGGTCTCCCCCAAAGGCTGCGATGTTCCTCTTCACCCAGGCGATGGCCATGTGCTGGTCCCGAAGGCCGTAGTTACCTGGTGGCGGGGGGGGGGGCGGGGGGGCAGACGTAAGCAAGGGACCTTCTTCCTGAACCTTCCGTCAGGTCTGGGAGTGCCGCAGTGAGAGACCCAGGGACTGGCACCCCGCAGGTGCCATTCAGTGCTGGTGGGATGCGTGTCTAGACCTTGCAGAGCCCAGGATGGCACCAGGTGTGTCCTAGGAGGCTGTGCCAGGAGAGGGCTGCCAGGGAGGGGTGGGGACCAGCACAGCATGGCCAAGCCGTGCCCAGCTTCCCCTGGCTGCTGTGTGGTACCAAGGCTGCAGCACCTTCCTCTGTGCCCCGTGTCTCCCTCGGTGGCTGCCTGTCCACCTCTCTGAGCGCCCGGCAGCCCCCGTTTCTCCCAGGCCCCAGCCGGGCTTGGGCTCACTGCGCACCTGGCAGGTTGGCATCCCCCGTGCTGAGGAAGCCGAGGGGGCCGACGCGGTAGTTGAAGGTGACCACGATGACGTTGCCGCGCGTGGCGATCTCCTCGCCGTCATACAGGTAGTTGCTGAAGAAGTTGGCCCCCTGGCCGGAGCCCATGAGGTAGGCACCGCCGTAGATCCAGATCATCACGGGCAGGTTCTTGGAGACTGTGGTGGGGACAGGGGCACGGCCAGCTGAGCACTGACACCCTGTGAGCCACAGGCTTCTCCCTGGCAGGGGCCCAGCCAGGCCTCCCCTCACAGCCCTGCCAGGGCTCTGACCTGCCTTCCTGCCCTGGGGGACCCAGATGTTGAGGTAGAGACAGTCTTCCTCCCCAAAGGTGCTGGTCTGGGTCAAGGTGGCCTGCAGGCAGCGCTTCTTGTAGTCATTGGCCTTGAGGGTCCCTGCGGGCGGCCACAGGGGCTGCTGTGAGGACGTGCCACCCTGGACACCACACCCACCACAGGGCCTGCCCGGCACACACTCTCTCACCACCGCCTCCCCTCACCTTGCCAGCCCGGGTGTCGCTGGGGGTTCTCCAGGGTCGAGGCGGTGGCAAAGGGGATGCCCTTGAAGATGTCGATGGAGTCCCCGCCCAGCAGGCTGAGCCTCTTGTTGACGCCCTCCACGAAACCGCCTTCCGTGTACACGGCCCCCAGCTGGCAGAAGGCAGGGGGCTCAGCTGGGCCAGCCTGAGCCCAAGGCCGAGCCCAGCAGGTGAGCCCACTTAGCAGGGGGTGTATCAAAGACTGGGACGGGCCCTGCCATCTGCCCCACAGGGCCTGGCCCTCCCCAGGGTTGTAAAAGCAGCTGTTCCCTCTTGGGACTCTTCTAAGGCCTGTGGGGAGGGTCTGGGTTCTGGGTATGACTGGCCAGCTGTGACAGAGAGCCTCAGTCTTCCCCTCTGTAAGGTGGGCCACTGCTGTGTTGCCAGCAGATGGGAGGCATGGCTGGCGTGCTTCTTGCTCATTGTGCAAACCCAAGGCAGACAAAGGGTCTGGTTCCCTCACCTCCTGCCAGCCTCAGGGGCCTACCTGGCCTGAGCCCCCCAGCCCGGGGAACAGCCAAGATGGAAGGAAGGCTCTTACGTCTGCACATGGCGCCTGGAGGCTGGCACAGGTGCCTCGGCCAGCCCGGCTCATACCCTCACCAGCCTTCAGGTGGGAAAGGCAGCACGCACCCACACCCACTGTCCCAGCCTCGCCAGGGTCCCAGCGACCCTCTGAGGCCTGGGGACAGGGCAGTGGGGGCTGGGCTGAAGCTGGAGGGAGGAATCCCCCCAAGTCCAAGCAGGGGGCCGCCTGGCACCATGGGAGAGCCTGGGAAGTCGCTTCTCAGAGGTCTCTGTGGTGATCAGCCCCGGGACTTTCCACTGAGGGGCGGGTGGTTCCGGGAGGGGGTGCTGGCACCTGCAGCGGCAGTTGGCAGGAATCTGGGTCCTTCCAGCTGCACTGGAGCTCTCAAGGCAGTGACAGGAGGGGTGCACAGAGCGGGGCCCATGGGGGGCTGGGACAGCAGGGTGAAGGGTGGAGAGGCAGCAGGGTTGAGTGGGGAGGGCAGGAGTTAGAGACGCGTGTCCCCCAGGGAGGGACAGCAAGCAGAGGAGGCAATGTGCGGGAGGTGCAGACCCCCAGTTTGGACAAGGCTGGGTTTGCCGGGTTTCAGGTGCCTGCTTGTGGTTGCTGTGTGTTGTGATGTTGGGCGTGTGGCCAGCAGGCCCCGTGGGCCTCTGCTGGGAGGTGACATCGGCAGGGCGTGGGAGGAGGCCAGGACCCACGAGGCTGGTACGTTGAAATTTCAGATTGGAAGGTGAATTTCCTTTTTTTTTTTTTTTTCCTTTTGGTTTAAATTGTTCCAGATGCCGTGTGGGACGCACTCATACCAACACCCACTGCGGTCTATCTGAAGTCCCGTGGAGTTGGCCTCCTGTGCTTACCCAGTGATCTGGGTCATCGGCGGAGTGACCCCTTCAGAGAGGCTGTGCACAGGAAGAGAAACCCCAGCCTGCTCTGCTCTGGGCCCTGGCTTCACTCGCACTGCCGGCTGGGAGGAGAGTGCAAGGGGCGCCCTGCGAGGCTGCCACTTACCGTCACCGCGGCCTGTGCCGCTGTCAAGCAGCAGGCCAGGCCCCATACAATCAGCTCCAGGCGTCCCATGGCGTGCGTCCACTCTGGGTGGCTCCCCAGGGGGTTCAGGTACTTATGGAGCCAGAGTCAAGGTCACGGGTGCAGACACGGTGCAGCTTGCCCAAGGCCAGCCGCTGCTGGGCATCTGGGTAGGTGCCTGCCCCCCCTGGGAATGGAAGCAGGTGCTACACACAGGCCAAGGCCAGGGCCTGGCTGCATGCCGGCCGCCACGGGTTGAGGGCCTGACTGTGTGCCGACTGCCGTGGGTTGAGGGCCTGGCTGCGTGCTGACTGCCGTGGGTTGAGGCTCTACTCACAAGGGCGAGGAGGTGTGCTCCGTCTCCAGGCTCTGACTGGCCCCCTGGCTCAGCCAGGGGAGCCCCATGGGGAGGTGCAGGGGTTGGGTGTTGGCTTCTGGGTCACAGAGGCTGTGAGCTACTGGGCACTTGGCAGGGCTGAGCCTGCATTGAGGAAGGAGGGCATGGAATCCACAGCAGCGCGGAGCCACGAGTCCAGAGCCCGGTGGGAAGACAGGAGATGGGAGAGATTGTTGAGACCATGGGGTGCTCATTTCTGCCAACACGAACCAGCAAAGACCACCTTACCTAAGAAGTCCAAGCTTGACACTCAGTGGGCAACAGAGGCTGCAGGCGGGGCTGCCCCTTCCCTGTCCAGGGGCCTGTGCCTTCAACACTGACGCCAGCCCACTAAGTCGCCTTTGGGCTGCTGCCTGGGCTCATATCACCCGCAGGTCTGTCTGCTTGATGCCCTCACCACTGAATGGATGGACAGTGGTGGGGAGGAGCTGGGTCCAGGGCAGGGGGGCAGGAGCCAAGGGTCCTAGGAGTGAAAAGGACTTGGCCTCTGTCAAGAAAGTTCAATTCCATGAATTTCCGACAATGTTGTCTGCCTTTGTGTCCCAGCTGCTCTATTTCCCTTCCAGCTCTCTGCCGCTGTAGATCTGCGACCTTGGATCCTCTTCAGTGGGTAAGATGGAGTAGCTGGCCCAGATCCACATGCAGGATGTGGCAGCCCATTGAGATCTGCAGAGGACAACTGGTACCCTGCCGGGAGGAGGAGGGCAGGATTAATTGGACAACTACCCCGGCCAATGTCCGGGCAAATGGAGACTCTAAGGTCGACTGTGACAGCCAATGGACACTGACTGTGCTCCCCCATCCATGGGGGAGACTGACAGCATTTCAGAATTACTGAAATCTGGGCCAGTCTCCAGTGCGCCACATCTGGACGCTGGGTTGATATTGGGTGGCCGTTCCCCATCCCGGGATTGGGGTTGTTGGAAGGTGGGTATGGCTTCTCCCCTTGTCCCACACACCCCACCCATGCCCCAAGAAACAAGAAAGAAGAAACAGAAAATTTGGGAACAATAATCACACACATTTTTCCTTAACCCTTGATCCTTCCCACCCTAATTAACTACATAAACATCATCTAAAGTTAAAAAGTAAATAAAAAAACAAACAAACAAAAAAAAACCCAGTATACCAGAAAGCTAGAATTTTTTTAAAAAATGTATTTGAAATACTTTACAGACAGATCTTCCTCAATGAGCTAGAGCTGAGCTGATCTGAAGCCAGGAGCCAGGGGCCTCCTTCATGGGTTGCAGGGTCTAAGGTTTGGTCCTCCACTGCTTTCTCAGGGCGTAAGCAGGCAGCTGGATCGCAGGTGAAGCCGCTGGGACCATAACTGGCACCCACGGGGGACGCTGGTGCTGCAGAGGGCGAGTGTGAAGCGCCACTGCCCTGGCCCCCTAGAGCTGCTCTAGAACCACAGCAACACAAGATGCAGGATGCTGATACTTCACACGTCCCAGAGCCCAGGGCCCCCACAGCCTCGGCCTCCGTCACAATGAGAGGCACCTCAATGACAACCCTGAACTGGTACCCAGAGCCCACCGTTCACCTGAGGGTCGCTCCATGGTCTGCATGGGGGCACCTGATGCCAACAGCACACAGAATCCCCAAGGTGCCGCTCGTCCCAGCTAATGCAGCCACTGGGGCATGAACTAGCGGAAGGAAGATCTGTGTCTCCTCCTCTCTCTGACTCGTTCAAGTAAAATAAATAACTCTTTAAAAATTGCCGCGTGATCTCCAGATGTGGCTGCACCACCTGCCACTCTGCCCCAGTCAGGGGGAGTTGCTCCTGCCCCCGTCCTGGTCAGCACCTGGTACTGTTGGGTTCCTCGAGTTTGGCCACCTCGACAGGTGCACACTGTCCATGTTATAGCATGTCAGGATGCTCCTATACAGGCTTTGGTACCTGCCCATCTGTTCTGTAATTTATTTATTTAAGAGAGAAGAGAGGGAGTGGTGAATCCATCTCTCATCTGGCCAGGACAGCCAAGGCCGGGGCCTGGAACTCCATCCTCGTCTCCCACTCCCACGTGGCCCAAGCACCTGGGCCGTCCTCTGCTGCCTTCACAAGCGTATTAGCAGGGAGCTGGATGGGAAGCAGAGCAGCCGGGGCTCCAGCTGGTCCTGACTGGAGACTGGGTGAGCAGAGAACGACGGTGACTCCCAGGTGGAGACCCGCAGGGCAGTGCTGGCAGTGCTGGCAGCTGTCTGGCATCTGGCATCTGGTGGGCTGACGTGAGAATCAGAAGGGGCCACGAGGTGTTTGAAGAGTGGCCCAAGAATCAGAGACTGCGAGTGTTAGGTGCTGTGAGGCTGGACTGGGGAGGAGCATTTAGCCTGGTAGCGAAGATTCCAGCCAAGGGGGGCACTGCCGTGATATTATGGGACCAGCAGCCTACGTGGGTGACAGCTGCAGTGCCAGTGGCTTCACTTCTGATCCAGCTCCCTGCTCATGGAAAGCAGCAGAGGATGGCTCAAGTGTTTGGGTATCTGTACCCACACGGGGGACCCAGAGTGGGCTGCTGGTTCCTGGCCTTGGACTGGCATAGCTTCAGCCATTGTAGCTGTTCGGATCCCTGTCTGTCCCTCTCAGCCTTTCAGATGTTAAAATCCAGGCAAGACACTGGCACCACACATTAGAGTGCTGAGGTTTGATTAAAATTCATTTTAATTCCAGCAAAACACACGCAAGAAGACACAGACATGGCACGTCTGGCCTAACACTGGCAGCGGGGGCCGGTGGGAACCTGGGCCTGTCATGACCGCCTGGTGCTGCCCAGGACGTGGGCTGCTTCCTGAGACCAGCTCTGGTGCTGAGAGGATTCCCGCAAGCTTGATGAAAAGTGGGGAGACCCTGCGAGGCCCGGGGCGTAACCCTGCCCTGGGCTCTGGCTGAGAGCAGCGTGGGGGTGGCCCCCTGTGTTTTGCAGGGTCACACAAGGACTGGAATGGTCGCTGAGAGCAGGGAGAGCCCAGAACCGCACCGCCTCGGGCTCAGCACAGGCAGGGAAGGGTCGCAGGGGCCAGGGTGGCGGGCTTGTGTCCCACTACAAGCAGGTCCCCAGGAATCCCCGCTGCAAGCACCACAGACCCTGGAATCCCAGGCACAGGGCAGGGTGGCCCTGCAGCACTGGGGTGACTGGGGTCAGACGACGGCCCTCCAATGGCTCAAGCCCAACAGGAAGTGGCACTGCCATAGCTCTCCGTGGCAGTGGGCTTGGCAGGGATAGTATGCCGCGGCCAAGAGAACGGTGGGCATGTTGGCCGTCAACCTGCAGAACCCACACACCCTGGGAAGTCAGGGCAGGCAGCTGCCCCCAGCACCCCCTGCATTGTCGGCAGGCCACTGAACAAAGGGACAGGTGAGGCTCTGCACGCAGCACAGATGGCCCAGGGGGTCGTGGCCGTCTGTGACCACGGGTGAGCCAGGCTCCTCGGGCTGTCTCTGCCTGCAGCCTCAGCCGATCCCAGGTCACCAGAGCCAGCTCAGTGGGGCCAGGGATGCCCTCAACCGCCCAGGGCCAGACAGCCACGCACAGCAGCGACCCACAGCAAGGCCCAGCTGCAGCCTTTGCTGCAATTCCAGTTTTCCTCGAAAGGTCCTGGCCCTGCCTGTCTTTGGTTGCTGGGCCAGCCCTGGGTGAGACCTGCCATCAGCCGGGTCCTGGCTTGTGGGCCTCTCACACGTAGTCCAGAATCTCCATCTCCATCTCATTCTCGCTGCCGTCTGAGGCCTTGAAGTCCTCCTCCTCTTCCTCGTCGTCCTCGTCCTCCTCCCCGGACTCGTCGGTCAGCTGCTCCTTGCCGCCGTCGGCCTTGGCCGGACTGGAGAAGAGGGCTAGGCGAGAAAGGCATAGGCTGTGGGTGTGGGCCAGGGTGGGCTTAGGCAGCGCTGGAGTCGGCCGGAGCCTGGAGCCATCCTGGGGAGGTGATACTGAGGCAGGCAGGTGGGAAAGCCACTTCCGGGAAGAGCTGTGGGGCCACCTGGGGTGGGACTGCTGCCCCCAGAGCCAGGCAGGAATTCCCTCAGTGGAGCCACTTACTGCCTCCCAGCTCGCACGGAGCCAGGGTCTGGCAGGCTTGGGATGGCAAGCCGTGGCCCTGATCACAGAGGTGGCCAGCTATGCCCTCGACCTGGGTGTCCCCCTGTGGGTGCCCTGCCTGGGGACCCTGGCACGTGTGGCGCTCACCAGGCCTCCGTGAGCGGATCGTGTGCCAGATCATGAGTGACATGCTGTCCCGCAGGTCGTCGCTCGTCTTGGGGAGGCACCACCCGTCACGCTCCGTGCACAGCTGCTCCTCGCCGTCGTTACGGTGGATGATCCTCTGCAGCCTGGATCGGGGAGGGCTGAGTTGAGGACAGGGACGGGGCCCACAGGGCTCCGGCACGGGGGAGGCAGGCAGCACCCAGCTAGCCGCCGCTTGATGGATGTGGTAGAGACCTGCCAGGCCGGGCCTCGACCTGCCTGCCCCAGCAGGCACGGCCCACTCCCTTTCCTCCCAGCTTTGCGCTGTCCTGTCCCTTGGGCCCCGCATACGTACTCATCCACATTCAGGTCACACAGCTGGTAGAACATCTGGCGATAGGGCGGCAGGGCCCCCTCCCGGAAGATGTAGACAGAATCCTGGGGGAGGGGCAGTTGGTGGGTCAGGAAGTTGAGTCCCAGCTGCTGTGGGGTGGCAAGACCCCGCAGGGAAATCTCCACGGAATCAACTGTCCCTTCAGGGGCCTAGATTGGGGCAGACCGTTGCCTGGGCCCTGGGCTTCCTACAGTGTGGCCTGTGCCAACTGGGCGACCTCTGCCCTCACCTGCTGCCTTGGCAGCCTTGCCAAGGAGTGCCTGTCTGCTCTCCCCCCTACCCAGCACCCATCTTAATAGGGCACCTTCCTCATGCCCATCCCAGCTGTTCTCACTCTGTGCCACCCTCACTTGCTGAGGGGGCTGGGAAATTTCCAGCTGCCACTGAATGTTGGCAGCCAGAGGGATGGGAGACTGAGGGCTGTTGTCCACGGCCAGCCACAGCTGCGGCTCGGAGTCTGCCTCGGCTTCGTTCCAGGTCCAATTCCCCTGGGCCGGGGCTGGGGTCACAGGCCACCATAGCTGCCATCAGATCGTCCCGCCCAGTGTGGTGCAGGGGGTGGACAGAGCTGCACCCCAAGCCCTCCTGGCCCTGCCCGTCTCTGCAGCTCAGGAGCAGCACCCACCTTGAGCTTGTACTTGGAGGAGGACTTCTGCGGCTCGGCTGTGCCCGCAGGGTTCGAGTCCTGCTTCAGATCCTGCCTGGTGACAAGCTGGCTGGCTGCGCAGGGACAACGACAGTGCTCTGGCAACCGCAGCAGGCAGGGCCCTGGAGCAACCCTGAGCAGCGAGCCCTGGCCACAGCACAGGCCCAGGACGCTTACCTGTCTTTTTGACAGTGATGGGGAGGCTGTAGTTGTAGGCGCTGCGCTTGGCTTTGACAGGCATGTCCCCAGGGGCGTAACCTGCAGCCAAAGGCGGCACAGGGCCAGCTCCTGAGAAAGGGCCCCCCAGCTGCTGCACTGCTGGAGGGTCACCAGAAGGCCCAGCCCTGCCCCAGGCGGGGGGCCGAGGCCATGAGCGGGTCCGGCCCTGTCCCAGGCGGGGGGCTGAGGCCATGAGCGGGCCCAGCCCTGCCCCAGGATGAGCGGGCCCAGCCCTGCCCCAGGCCGGGGCCGAGGCCATGAGCAGGCTGCTGTACTCAGCACGCTCAGCGGTGCCCGGGCAGGCCCTCCTGCTTCTACGCTACTCTGGGTCCAACAGTCTCATCTGGGAGGGCTTCTGCAACCGCTCCACGTGAACAGATTCTTAGCACAAAAGGCAACGCCAGAAACAGAGAAGCACGGAGGAGGAGAGGGAAAAGGAGAGAGAGAGTGCGTGCGGGCAGAGCTGCCAGCGGGGCTTACCGTATTTCATTCCACAGCGGATTCGGAAGTCAAGCACTTGGTAGATCTTGGCTTCCGGGTGCTTGCGGGGGTCGTACCCGAAGCGGATCCACAGGCTCCTCCAGGGGCCTGTTATCTGAGACACAGGCGGGCATGTGAGCAGGGGCCGGGGCAGGTTCCGGCTCCCAGGACAAGCCACCAGCGTCCATGGGCCATGGGCAGGAGCCCCTGCAGGTGGTATGCAGCTCAGCTGAGGTCACACTCAGGGAGCCATCCTGCGAGAGCCGGCACTGCAGCAGTGCTCAGCTCCTGGCTCGAGGGAACAGGGTGTGCTCTGGCCCCACTGGGTGTTTGTGGTGGGCTTAGACCTACAGAGCTGGAGCTGAGGGTCTGGGGACAGGCACCTGCTATGGGCCTCGCAGGAGGATCTCACACTGGCTCCCCAATGGCTCCAGGTGGGGATTCTGGGCAAACTGGGAACCCCAAGCACGACAACCCCATCTCAGCCCATGAACCCCACTGGACACGAGTGGAGGAACTATGCTGGTGACACCGTGGCCACACAGGCTGGGCCTGGGTTAGCAGGACCCCAGGGAGGAACCAGGACGTGAGGCACACATGGCCTGCCCAGCTGCCCAGTCATCCAAATGTGCTCACTGTGCCATGGAGGGGCTGCAGTGGGAGCCGCAGCCCCTGCTCTCGCTGGGCTCAGACGCCACGCCGGCTCACAACTCGCCACGCAGCAGGCCGGCCCACACTCGCCACGCAGCAGGCCGGCCCACACTCACCATGTAGTAAGCTATCAAGGGGAGCAGGATCTTGAGCTTGTCAGGGTGGATGCTGATGTTGGCCTTGACGGCGTTCCGGGACCAGATGGGACGGATCTCAAACAGCTGGGGAGGATCAAAGGCAGGGCTTAGTGCAACAGCTGCTTCCAGTCCTCGGAACACGGTTGGGGTCCTGGGCGTCCTTCCCAACAGGCCCCAGCACCGTTAGCCCCGCACTTTCTCACTCTCTCCCTTCCCTTACGCGGACCTGCAGCCCAGCACAGGTCGGGGGCAGCTACGAGACTGACTGGCGGTCCTGATGTGATAATGGGGGCCAGTCTGGGCTCTCCCCCAAGCTCACGGGGTGCAGGGCTGGGCTCCCCCCAGCTCACGGGGTGCAGGGCTGGGCTCCCCCAGCTCACGGGGTGCAGGGCTGGGCTCTCCCCCCCAGCTCACGGGGTACAGGGCAGCCAGCTGGGGGCCAGGCTGGGCTCTCCCCCAGCTCACGGGGTGCAGGGCAGCCAGCTGGGGGCCAGGGCTGGACTCTCCCCCAGCTCACGGGGTGCAGGGCTGGGCTCCCCCCAGCTCACGGGATGCAGGGCAGCCGGCTGACACAGAATGTGCTAGAGCTCTGGAACCTTCAGAGAGCCTGAGTGGGGTCACCACGTGGGCAGGAGGGGAAGGCGCTGGCCCAGTAGCCACAGCGAGGAGGCCCAGGCAGAAGGGGCCCTGCAGGCTCTGTTGGGATCTGCGCTGTGTCCAGAGACAGAGGAGACAGCCACACAGGCTGAAACGCCCTCCTGCTCCAGCTCTGGAATGGCCTGCACTGCAGCCCCAACAGTACAAGCCAGGGACGAGCCGGCCCAGGTCAGCAGAGGGCCCCGCCTTGGGCATGCAGCTCTGACATGTCATACCTAGTGGGGAGAATCCCTGAGGGCTGGGCCTGGTGTGATAGCCTAGTGGCTAAAGTCCTCGCCTTGCATGCACTGGCATCCTATAATGGTACCAGTTCATACCCCAGCTGCTCCACTTCCCATCCAGCTCCCTGCCTGTGGCCTGTGAACACAGTGGAGGACGGCCCAAAGCCTAGGACTCTGCACCTGCGTGGGAGACCCAGAAGAGGCTCCTGGCTCCTGGCTTTGGTCAGCTTAACCCCACCACTGTGGCCACTTGGGAGCGAGCTAGCAGACAGAAGAGCTTTCTTCATCTCTCTCTCTGTAAATCTGACTTCCCAATAAAAACAAATAAGCCTTTAAAAATAAAATCCCTGAGGGCTCACAAACAAAATGTGCCATGGGGACAGCTGGGCAAAGATGCCGCGGCCAGCCCTGAGGCGGCGGGCAGCCCCGAGGCAGCGGGCAGCAGCGGGCCAGCAGTGGGCAGCAGCGAGGCAGCGGGCAGCAGCGGGCAGCACTGGGCAGCAGCAGGCAGCACTGGGCAGCAGCAGGCAGTGGGCAGTAGCGGGCAGTGAGCAGCAGTGGGCAGTGGGCAGCACTGGGCAGAGGGCAGCACTGGGCAGCCCTGAGGCAGGGGCAGCACTGGGCAGCAGCGGGCAGTGAGCAGCAGCGGGCAGCACTGGGTAGTGGGCAGCAGTGGGCAGCCCCGAGGCAGCGGGCAGCAGCGGGCAGTGGGCAGCAGCGGGCAGCACTGGGCAGCAGCGGGCAGCACGGGGCTGGCTCACCTTCCGCAGCTCCTCCTCGGTCTTCTGGTCCACGGGGTTGCCGCACACCTTCCCCCACGTGTGCACTGCGGCCTCCAGCGGCTGCATGGGTACTTCATTGTCCTCAAAGTTGACAAAGATGGCATTGTGGGGACGCCGGGCTCTGCTCAAGCCAATGAGGTTCTCGCCTGAGGTGGGGGGGTTGTTGTAGCCTTCCCTAAGGAACACAGCATGGTGGGGTGCCACTGAGGGCAGGCCCACTGGGCAGCAGCGAGCGCAGGGAGCCGGTGCAGCAGAGTGGGAGGGCCTGTCCCGGGGCTGCCAACGGGGGAGGAGGGACCCCGACGGCCGAGTTGGCTTGGGGCAGCTCCAAGGCCATCACAAGCAGATACGGGAGGCACTGACAGGCTTCTGCTGAGGGACCTGGGACCCCCAACCCAGGCGCCTGGCTGTTCTATGGCAAGGGGAGGACCCCGCCATGGTGCCTGGCTGCTCCATGGCCCAGGAAGACCCCGCCCAGCCATGCCACGAGGGCTAGGCAATCAAAAGTGAAGCTCCCCTGGACCTGACCAGGCTGCCTGGCACCAGGAGCGAGGCCCTGTGCGGGGGGGAGGGGCACTGGTCTGGCATCACCAGTGGACCCATGGGGTATTGCTGCCAGTGGGTGGGAAATCTGCCTTCTTGGGTTGCTGTGGACCTAAAACTGCCCTAGAAACAAAGTCCTGACCAAAGCATATACACAGACCAGGGTTCTAGAACATTCTGTGTTCAAGGTTGGACGCCAGCCCCCCCACCCAGCGGCTCTTCACCAGCTGTGTCACACTGAAGTGTCTTAAAAAAAATTATTTATGGACCTGGTGCAGTGGCCTAGCGGCTAAAGTCCTTGCCTTGAACACACTGGGATCCCATATGGGCGCCGGTTCTAATCCTGGCAGCTCCACTTCCCATCCAGCTCCCTGCTTGTGGCCGGGGAAAGCAGTTGAGGACGGCCCAAAGCCTTGGGACCCTGCACCCATGTGGGAGACCCAGAAGTTTCTGGCTCCTGGCTTCGGATCGGCATAGCATCAGCCGTTGTGCTCACTTGGGGAGTGAATCACCGGATGAAAGATCTTTCTCTCTGTCTCTCCTCCTCTCTGTATATCTGCCTTTCCCATAAAAATAAATAAATCTTTTTTAAAAAAAAAAATACTTATTTATTTATTTAAAAGGCAGAGTTACAGAAAGAGGGAGAAGAGGCAGAGAGGAAGATCTGTCTGCTGGCTCATTCCTCAAATGGATGCAATGACCAGAGCTGGGCCAGGCTGAAGCCAGGAGCCAGGAGCTTCAACCCTCTCCGCCACGTGGGTGCAGGTCAAGGACCTGAGTCGTCCGGGCTTTCCCAGGTGCCTCAGCAGGGAGCCCGGTGGGAAGTGGAGCAGCCAGGACTTGGAACAAGCGTGCTTGCAGTGGAACTTAGCCAGCCATGTCGCAGTGCTGACCCCTCAAGGATACTTAACGTGGGGCTGGATCCCCTGTGGCCACACTGGGGTGCCCGTTCCCACTTGTGCTGACTGTAGCTTGTTCCCTTAGCTGCACATTGAGAAAGAACGCAGGGGGGCTCCCAGCAGGGATGAAGCCCCTAGGGGCATCACGCCTGTGCCTTTGGGGTGTGTGCCAGGCACAATGAGTCATGCTTGGCAAGGTTGGCATGCCTTACTAGGTGCAGGTTCCAGTCTCAGGTGCTCGGCTTTCCACCCAGCTCCCTGCTAAGGCGCCTGGGAGGTTATAGCAGATGGGCTGTGCAGGTGGGACACTCGGATGAGGCTCCTGGCTCCTGGTTCCAGCTGGTCCAGCTCTGCTGCTGTGACCACCTGGGACCACTGGGCAGTGACTAGAGCACAAGGGGTCTCTCCTTTCCTCCCTCTAGCTCTCTCTGTCATTCTGCCTTTTAAATAAATAAATCTTGGGCCCAGTGGCCTAGTGGCCTAGCAGCTAAAGTCCTTGCCTTGAATGTGCCGGGATCCCATATGAGCGCTGGTTCGTGCGCCAGCTGCTCCACTTCCCATCCAGCTCCCTGCTTGTGGCCTGGGAAAGCAGTCGAGGATGGCCCAAAGCCTTGGGACCCTGCACCCATGTGGGAGACCTGGAAGAAGTTCCTGGATCCTGGCTTTGGATCGGCATAGCATCAGCCGTTGCGCTCACTTGGGGAGTGAATCATTGGATGGAAGATCTTCCTCTCTGTCTCTCCTCCTCTCTGTATATCTGACTTTCCAATAAATAAATAAATCTTCAAAATAAATAAATGAATCTTAAAACCAAGACTGCCCTGACCAAGTACCACACTGTCCTGTTTTCTGGGGGGCTCCATGTACCCCAAGAAGGAAAGCTGGACACCAGGCTCGGAGAGCAACAGCAGGGGGCGGCGAGCAGCCCGTGCCCAGCGCTGTGGAGGAAGAGCCTGCTCTGCCACGGTGGCCCTGGCCAATGGCTGGCAGGGGTCTTGTGCTGCCCTGCCGTCAGCAGGACCTACCTAGGGGCTGCGGAGCATGCCGGGCCCCACCAGGCCAGCGTCACCACTTCCCCTCTGTCCACCCGACCTAAAGACACGCCACCTTGCAGGACCCAGGCGATCCAAAGGGCAGCCGCCAGACCCTGTGTGCCTGGGGCGGCTGGCAGAGCAGCAAAGCAAACAGCACCCCTGGGAAAAAGCACAGACTCCTTCCACGTGCTGGGTAAGCGATAACACCCCAGGGGAAACGGGCTCTGGGGGCCAAAGAGCCCCGCTCCTCCCCGTCCACCTGCCAGCTCCGGGGCGGAGCCAGAGTGCCACGGCCTGTGGGTGTTCTGTCACCCAAGGAGCAAACGGTGTGGGTGGGGGGGAAAACGTTCCAGAACCAACCACGTAAGCACAAGAGGGATTAGACCCACCCACTGGCAGCGCTTGCCTGGCGGGACACAAGCACCCTGCCACATCACCCCATGCAGCGAGGGGACCAGACGGCCTGTCTTCCTCTTAGAGCGTGAATTACATCCTCAAGCAGGAGGACAGTGGGGTGCTGTGGCCCCCAAGATGTCTCTGAACACAGCGGGGCTGCGGGCTTAGGAAGCGCTGACAAGCCCGCCCACGTAGGTGCCCAGTGATGCACTCGGCCAGCTCCTGGACGGGCTGAGCAGGGCCAGGCCAGGACGGCGCTCTCCCTGTCCGAGTCGTGGGGGCACAATCAGGCGTCTCCAGTGTGCAGGCATGCCTGGAACGTTCCATGCTCAAAGCCGCACCCTCTGCTGGGGCCACCCCTGCCACTGGCTGGCCTGAGGCTGCTGAGGGCCGCCTGCCTCCCACCGACCCTGCAGGTGCCGCTACCCTGGAACGCTCCCTGACGCCTCGAGCCTGGGGCTTCCTGTCCTGCCCAGGTCCCAGGTGCTGGGCCACACACCCCGGGTTCCAGGGAGCACCTGGACATGATGGCCACTCTGTCAGAACTGCAGGTGGAGATGTCCTTAGACGAGGTAACGGTCTCTTCCTCCCGTGCCCCCAGGGGCAGCTGCTCTGGGGCCCAACATTCCAGACTTTTCCAGGCTTCTAACACCATGCCGCAGCTCACATCTGCTGCCAGGGTGTCCCAGTGCCTGCGTTTCCCACACACACCACACCCTGGACACATGCCCACCAACAGGCTCCCCGCCACCTGCAGCCCTTTGCCCAACCACCCTCTGGCTCCCCCGGCTCCTGCCTCCTCACTCACAGGGCTGCCAACGCCTGCCAAGCACCCGCCCACAGGCCGGCCACAAGAGGCCGAAGGGCCACCTTCAAGGCTTCCGGTCTCCTCGTGTGCAGTTTGGACAAGCAAGGACCACACGACAACACACAAGGCCGAAGAGCCGGGCTGAGCTTTGGCAGGTGAGCGTGACAGAGCCGGCGGAGACGGCCGAGGACTACGAGGGGGCAGTTGTGACCCGTCGGGGTGGGGACGGAGCAGCCGAGCGGGGCGGGGGGATGTGGAAGCCAGCTGGCTTCTGCCGGACTGCGTCAGGCCCTCCAGGGGTCTCCCGGCCTTGCACCAAAAGTCCGTGCACTTTTCTGATCTCATCCAGCAGTCGCGCCGGGTGGGCGCTGAGGGCAACCCGTGCCCGAGGCAGCCTGGGCCCTTACCGGTGCTGCGTCTCCGGCCGGTAGAAGTAGTCCACGGGGGTGTCGAGGCGTGAGAAGATGGGCGGGGGGATGTAGAGCGGCAGGTCCTGGTGGAAGAAGCCCTCCTTCTCGGGCTTCAACATGACCAGCTTGTCATACATGGACCTGCACCCGCCGCCCGCCTCCGTGTGCACGGCCAGGTACTGGAAGTCGGACATTCCTGGGGAGAGACGCCAGTGGTGGCAGCCCCAGGACCCACACCCCTATGAGGAGCACCCTTCATGGCGCCCCCTCCCTCCCACAAACATCAGGCCGGGCAGGGACGGGGGACAGGGCGGCGTGCAGGGGCAGGGACGGGGGACAGGCCGGCTGGTGTGCAGGGGCAGGGACGGGGGACAGGCCGGCCAGTGTGTGCAGGGGCAGGGACGGGGGACAGGCCGGCGGCGTGCAGGGGCAGGGACGGGGGACAGGCCGGCGGCGTGCAGGGGCAGGGACGGGGGACAGGCCGGCGGCGTGCAGGGGCAGGGACGGGGGACAGGCCGGCCGGCGTGCAGGGGCAGGGACGGGGGACAGGCCGGCGGCGTGCAGGGGCAGGGATGGGGGACAGGCCGGGGTGCAGGGGCAGGGACGGGGGACAGGCCGGCGGCGTGCAGGGGCAGGGATGGGGACAGGCCGGCCAGTGTGTGCAGGGCCCCAGCCAGTTAAGCTGCCCACTGGGACAGTGGCATCCCATCTGAGCACTGGCTCTTGTCCCGACTGCTCCACTTCCACTCCAGCTCCTGCTGATGTGCCTGGAAAGGCAGTGGAGGAGGGCCCAAGTGCTAGGCCCTCTGGGTGGAGTTCTGGACTCCTGGCTTCAGCCTGGCCCAGCCCTGGCTAATGCAGGGAGTGAATCAGTGAATGGAAAATCTTTTCCTCCTGGTTGCCCAGCCTTTAAAATAAATGAATCTTAAAAAAAAAATTTTTTTTAAATCTTAAATTCCACAGGGGTGTGAATTGCCAGTCTGTGGACATGGGGGTTTCAGTAGGACCCAGGACTTGGCACAGAACCCAAGAAGACATGCCAGCCATGAACCTGCTGTGCTCAGGGCACCCTCGGGGTCTCCAGGACCCCCATCAGCCCTTTGCCCCGACCCTCGGGGTCTCCAAGGACCCTGCCAAGCCAAGGCCCGCCCTCACGCTGCCAGGAAAACCACACCCTGGCTCGGCCCTGCCCACTGGCAGCCAGGCCCCGCCCCCACGCCGAGCGGCCCCGCCCACTGACTGCCAGCCCCGCCCCCACGCCGAGCGGCTCCACCCCAATGCTGAGCGGCCACGTGTCCTGCCCCTCAGGCCAGCGTGGCTGGCGCAGGCGGCTCCCACAGGGTGCCCGGGGACTGCAGGACGCACCCTGGAACTTGTAGACAATGGGCACGATGCCCACAACCTCCATGTGCAGCGTGACCTCGGGCGGGGCCCCCGGCCGCCGCCGCGTCCTCTTCCGGACGCGCAGCAGCAGGTTGGTGGCGCTGAGGCGGTTGGCACACACCGGGTGGCAGTACGGGTCCTTGGGCCGGAAGTGGAGCTCCAGCCTCTTGGTGGGGTCTGCATAGATCTGGGGGCGAGAGGGCAAGGTCAGGCAGCCGACCAAGAAGGGCTGGCGGGCTCACGGTCAAGCTGCAGTTGGTGAAGCCAGGCAGTGGAGTTCTTCCCCGGCCAGAGCATAACTGGAAAGGCGGCGGTCAGCTCTGCCAGGATGCCCCTTTCGCCCCACACCCCTCAGCCTCGGGCACACCTGGGCTCCGGATAACCACTGCAGGATGACCCCAGGCTCATTCCGTCTCGTGTGTCCGAGCCCAGAGATGAAATCACCACCACTCTACTCTCCATGGCCTGCGGCCCGCCGAGCCAGGCTCCCACCTCCACGGGAGGGCCATCGCGTTCAGCGCCCGCTTTGGGGGTGACCCACCAGCATCCCCTATGGGCCCCAGTTCCAGTCCTGGCTGCTCAGTTTCCGATCCAGCTCCCTGCCGAGGCTCCCGCAGAGCAGCAGCAATGGCCCAAATTCCTGAGTGCCCACACCCACACCCACCCGGGAAACCTGGATGGAGTGCCAGCCCCAGCGTTGGCACAGCCCAGCCCTGCGTGTAGAGTGAACCAGCAGAATGCTCTCTCAGGTCCAACTCTCCTTTCTAAACACATAAAAAGGTCTTAACACAGACAAGCGATGGCCGTGCAGCAATGGGTGACGGGCTCAGCGCAGAGCCACCACAAGTGTGGCTCCACTGGGCAAGCTCGGTTACAAGCAAGGCTCCCAGGACACTTGCGGAAGTCATGGGGCATGTCCGGCTCCTTTCAAATAAAGGAAAAACAAAAACCCACCCTAGGCCTCACAGTCTGCCCGAGTTGCCTTCGTGCAAACCGATGCTGGCCTGCCCTGAGTGGGTGCAGGACAGCACGGCAGCCACAGCCCCGGGCAAGGACGCCTGCTCGCCGGCCGGCTGCCAACAGCCACGCCAGTGCCTGGCCCTGCGTGGGCACCGCCAAGGCAAAGCAGCATGAATGCATGCATGGTGCCAGGGTTCGGTCAAGCAGCCAAGCCCCAAAACAGAAGCCTGGACGCTCTCCCGCCATGTGGCTCGCTAAGGCATGCAGGGTCTGCCAGCTTGCAACGTCAGACTGCAGGACACGGTGGGCAAGGGCTGGCCCTTGGCCCAGCACACCTGCGCTCTGGCTCCCAGGCGGCGGCGGTTCCGTGCCCAGGAGGGATGCTACACCTATCCAGACGGGCCCTGCACGCCCTGCTGGACTCGGACACAAAACAGCAGACAGATCCTCTTTCTGGAACGCTGCTTTTCAAGTTAATAAATCTTAAAAAACAACAGAAGCCAGGCATTGCCCCTGATGTCATCAGAAGTGGCAGAAGCAAGAGCAGCACGCGTAAACAGGATGGAATGTCACTGGAGGCCGGACTCGGCCGCGTGAGGAGGTGGGCAGTAACTGCGCGGCCCACGCACCCCCGAGGCTCCCCTCCCCGTGGTCACCTGCAGGACAGCTCCAGCCCGGGCAGGCTCCCGAGGAGGGGAGTGGGCACCGCACCCGCCACCCCGTGCGCCCCCGAGCTGGCCGCCTCCAGCCCCAAGCGCCCCCCGCCCGTGGTCTCCCACTCAGGGAAGACCCTGCGCTCAGGCGTCGGAGAACGAAGCTGAGGGTCAGCCATGAGAAGGGGTGGAAAACAGCCCCTCACCACCCGCCAGCACCCCCGTCAGCCTTCGCCCCGACCCTCGGGGTCTCCAAGGACCCCGCCAAGCCAAGGCCCCGACCCTCGGGGTCTCCAAGGACCCCGTCAGCCTCCGCCCCGACCCTCGGGGTCTCCAAGGACCCCGTCAGCCTCCGCCCCGACCCTCGGGGTCTCCAAGGACCCCGTCAGCCTCCGCCCCGACCCTCGGGGTCTCCAAGGACCCCCGACAAGCCAAGGCCCCGACCCTCGGGGTCTCCAAGGACCCCCGACAAGCCAAGGCCCCGACCCTCGGGGTCTCCAAGGACCCCGTCAACCTTCGCCCCGACCCTCGGGGTCTCCACGGACCCCCGACAAGCCAAGGCCCGCCCCCATGCTGCCAGGGAAACCACGCCCCCGGCTCGGCCCCGCCCATCGGCGGCCAGGACCCGCCCCCACGCTTAGGGAAACCCCGCCCACCCGGCCCCGCCCACTGGCCACCAGGGCCCGCCCCTCCCCCGTTGCCAAGGAGACCACCCTCCACCCCACCCCCGCCGCCGAGTGCCCGGCTCCTCACTCGGGAGACGCTCTCCTCGCCGCCCAGCGTCGCCAGCATGTTGCTCACGTCGCGCACCACGCCGGGATACTCCACGCACACCATGCGCCGCTCGCGCTGCAGCTCCAAGGAGACGGCCGCACCGGCCGCCATGGCTGCTGTCAGGCCCGGCGCGCCTTCCGCACCTCCGGCAGTTCCCCGACGCCTGTCCCGGTGGTTCCGCGCAGACACCGTTCCGGGTCTCCCGCCAGTCAGCCAGGCATCCGGAGGATTGCAAATTACCACGCAACCCTCGATTTTAGCCAATGAAGATTCGAGTTCGAGCCAAGCGGTTTCTTCTTTTAACCAATTAGAATCTCGGAGGAGCCCTGTTCCGCCCCCTCCTCCATCGGTCAGCTCTTAGCCAATAGGAAGTCTGGAATTACCAAGGGCCCTGCCATCTTCCGGGGAACCCATCCAATGACGATAAGGGGGCGGGCCCAAGGCGGGCTTCCGGTTCGCCTCTGTGCGAGAGAAGGCGGAAGCGCGGTCCTCGCCGAGTTGGATGTTTCTGAGCGTGACTGCGATCCCTGAGCGATGAGCTCTGTGCTCCGTGCTTCTGGCTGGCCGAGTGCGCCGCGAAGGGGAGAGGGCAGAAATGCACTCGGAGCAGCCGACCGAGGGCTCCGGGACGGCGGCCAGGGACGGAGCGGGCGGCCGGAGTGAAGGCAGGCGGGCCCCGAGGCCTGGCACCGCGAGTTTCCGCAGGGGTCCCTGGGTTAGAGCGGAGGGGACCTACTGACTTAAGCCTCTACCTGCAGCACCGGCATCCCACGTGGGCGCTGGTTCGAGTCCCGGTCCTGCTCCTTGCCGACGGTCTGGGAAAGCAGGAGGGGCCCCTGGAGCCACATGTGGGAGCCCCTAGCCTTGGCCTGGTCCAGTCCTGCCCGGTGGCAGCCCTGTGTTAGGATGCGGGGACCCCAGGCGCCGCTTTCCTGGTGAACACCGTGTGAGCTGGGTTAGCGGGTGCAGCGCTCGCGCCCCGGCCTTTGGGTTCATTTGACGGAAGGCAGCGCTGGGGGCGAGTTCCCCGTGGCCATCCCTGCAGCCCAGGCCAGGCCCTGCCCTGCCTTATGCCTGCACCCGCGCCAGGAGCTGGAGCCCCACACTGCCTGCGATTCCGCGTGCACTGCGGGTTTTGTTGTTTTGAAGACTATTTTTTTAAAAAACTGGAAAGGCAGAAATACAGACAGAAGGAGGTACAATGGAAGATCTTGCATTCACTGGTTCACTCCCCCAGGGACCACCATGGCCAGAGCTGAGCCGATCCGAAGCCTGGAGCTTTTCCTGGGTCTCCCATGCAGCTGCAGGGTCCCACGGCTTTGGGCCGTCCTCTGCTGCTTTCCCAGGCCACAAGCTGGGAGCTGGATGGGACGTGGAGCTACCGGGATTAGAACCGGCGCCCACATGGGATGATTCTGGCGCGTGAAAGGCGAGGATTTAGCCACTAGACTATCACACTGGCCCGTGCACTGCGTTTTCGCGCCGGCTCTGGGGTATCAGCTGGCCAGCCGGTTAGTGCCACGTGTGCGGTGTGCCGGGTCTACAGTAACTGCCTGGAGCACTGGGCCTGTCTTTCCTCGCTGTCTCCCTCCACGCACAAACACACCTGGCTGCGGAAGAAAGCAGGTTTTGGACGAGCCAAGCCAATTCCAGACTGCCCCTCACCTTCGTCCACCCCCCAGCAGGGAGCCCCTTACTTTGCTGGGATCCGATCTCTTTAGGGAAGCAAGAGGAAGCTTTCTAGAATGAGGTCTCACCCCTGCCCACTGCGCCTCCCCAGCCTAGCTGCCTCCTCTGGCAGGCGTCTGCTCAGACAGCACGCGGCCTGCCTGGGACATCCTGACACTCAGAGAGTGGGCTTCGAAACTTCCATCTGCTGCTTCGCTCCCTGAAGGTACCACGGGAGAGTCTAGAGCCAGCAGTCGGGAGCTCCTTCTGGTTTGCTCAGGTGGTGCAGGGGCCCAGGCACCTGTTAGGATGCCCGGTTCGCGGGGGCATCGAGTACCACAAAGCCCCGTGTGCTGGGACGCCTGGGGCAGTAGCTGTTTCTTGCCAGGCCGGGTCCATGGGTGCGTGCTGGGCAGGGGGCCTGGGCACCCCTGGCCACCCGCAGCCGCATGCTGAGAGCCTTGGGTCCTGGATGCAGCAGGACTGTGGGTCCAGCCCTGGAGTACAAGTGAAGCCTGTGTGCCATACTGCAACGCCGCAGGTTCAAGTCCTGGCTGCCCCACTGCTGATCCAGCTCCCTGCTAATGCACCTGTACCCACGTGGGAGACCCAGATGGAGCTCCGGTTTCCTGACTGCAGCGATTTCCGAAATGAACCAAATATCTAACACTTAGAATGTATGAATGGAGAAGGAAGGTGTCGCGTTCGCCGCCGGCCACGAGGCGGCAGCAGAGCGCCCACATTGTCCAACACCGCCACCTTGCGGTCGCCGGCGCCCATGACACCCAGGTTGAGGAGTGGGCTGGGCTGCTTGGAAAGGGCCACGGTCAGCAGGTGCCCGGGGTCAGGGCCGGCCTCGCACACCTCACCCACACGCGTGCATCCGGGGATTCGTGCACCTGGCGTCCCATCATCGACTGGAATGGATGAGTTTTCTAAAACGCCTGTAGTTTCAAAACTGCGTGCATTTCAACAGGGTTTTTTTTTTTTTGGCTTTTTCGCAACACAACCAGCTTATCTTACTTCCACATTTCCACACAGCCTGTTTGTGTGTGTGTTTTAAGATTTATTTATTTGAAGGGCAAAGTTACAGAGAGGGAGAGACAGAGATCTCACATCTGCTAGCTCACTCCCTAAATGGCTGTGACAGCCAGGGCTGAGCCAGGCATTGCCTGCCGCAGGGTCCGTGACGGCCCCCCGTGCGTGCACTGTCAGCCACTCCACGCAGAGGCCTCCCAGGTGGGGGTCTGTCACTGCGGCCAAGGCTGGGCCCACCAAGAAGCGTTCCGTCACCAGCGGGCGGTGGGGGCTGCAGGTGTGAACAGCGAGAGGAGTTCAGAATGGCACAGCCCCACCACCACCACCCCCGCAGCATTAAGCAGCACCCAGCAGGCTGTGTCCCAGCCTACATCCCGGACAGCCGGAAGCAGGGTCCTGGGGACACCCGTGCTTAGAGCAGCGTTAGCGCCCCGGGGCAGAGGGTGTCAGCCACCCACAAGGTCCCCAGTTAAACTGTGGTCCAGGTGCCAAGCTGGGGACTGAAGCAGATGCTGCCCCCGAGAGCCTGTGTGAGGCCAAGCTACAGATCCCGCAATGAGGAACTCCCAGGGTCGTCGGAGATGGAGAGCAGAATGCAAAGTCCCGGCCTGGTGGCACAGCGAGTTAAGCCGCCATCTGGAGCGCTGACATCCCACATGGGCACCAGTTCGAGGCCCGGCTGCTCCACTTCTTGTCCAGCTCCCTGCTGATGGGCCAGAGAAGGCAGAGGAAGATGGCCCAAGTGCGTGGCCGTCTGCCACCTGTGAACAAGATAGCATGGCACTCCAGGCTCCTGGCTTTGGCCTGGCCCAGCCCTAACCGTTGTACCCATTTGGACAGAGAAATGCATCGTCTCTCTGTGACTCTGCCTTCCATCTCTCGTTATCGTTTCTCTTCTCGTGGGAAATCAAGATTTGCTCCTGTGTCTAATTCTGCCATCCTGGGCCCGGTGGCGTGGCCTAGCGGCTAAAGTCCTCGCCTTGAACACACTGGGATCCCATATGGGCGCCGGTTCTAATCCCGGCAGCTCCACTTCCCATTCACCTCCCTGCTTGTGGCCTGGGAAAGCAGTTGAGGACAGCCCAAAGCTTTGGGACCCTGCACCCCTGTGGGAGACCTGGAAGAAGTTTCTGGCTCCTGACTTCGGATCGCCATAGCACTGGCCGGCGGCACACAGGGCCGGCGGGGATGGCAGCACCTCTGCCAGGCTGCACAGCCAGGTCCCAGCTGTGTGGGCCTTCCAGCTTGCACCTGCTCCATGCCAGGGGCCTTCTTTCCCCCATAGCATTACAAAATCAAGATGGCAGAATTTTTTTTTTAATATTTATTTATTTATTGGAAAGTCAGATATACAGAGAGGAGGAGAGACAGAGAGGAAGATCTTCCGTCCAATGATTCACTCCCCAAGTGAGCGCAACGGCTGGAGCTGAGCCAATCCAAAGCCAGGAGCCAAGAGCCTCTTCCAGGTCTCCCACGTGGGTGCAGGGTCCCAAGGCTTTAGGCCGTCCTTGACTGCTTTCCCAGGCCACAAGCAGGGAGCTGGATGGGAAGCAGGGCTGCTGGGATTAGAACCAGTGCCCATATGGGATTCTGGGCGTGCAAGGCGAGGACTTTAACTACTACGCTATTGCACTGGGCCTGGCTGGTATATGTTTTTAAAAATGTTTATTTTTATTTGAAAGGCAGATCTATAGAGAGGAGGAGAGACAGAGAAAAAGATCTTCCATCCGCCGGTTCATTCCCCAAATGGCCACAAGGGCCAGGGCTGACCTGGCTGAAGACAGCGGCTCCGTCCTGGTCTCCATCGTGGGCGATGCCAGCTCTGCCCCTCAGCAGTGGCCCCCCAGGTGTGTCAGCAAGGATCCCACACACCCCGGTTCGGGATGCGGGGTCCCTCACAGCCGCTTGTCCCTGCTGCCCATCACCTGCCCCCCCGCCACATGAAGGACAATGCACAAACCCCATAGGTCTCCTGCCGCATTCAACCCGTCCTCAGTCCCCAGGCCACGGGACGCGAGGATGCCATGTTGGTGGCACCTCTGCCGAGTGAGCCTGGCTTAGGGAGGGGGGCACTCATGAAGGGACGACACCAAGCAGGTGGCCAGGCACACACACCCTGCTTGCACAATCGCCACCGTTGTCCTGCACAGCCAGCCAGCCAGCCAGCGGGCTTCCCCGGGACAGCGGACTCACAGAAGCCCACCTCTGGCAAGTACAAGGTCAAAGGAGGGCTGGCCAGGCCCCCCCCCCCGGGGACACCAGTCCTGCCCCATCAGTGCCTGCACTCCACTTCTGCCATGGCACCCTCAGCGCCTCCAGGCCAGGCCCCCGCCTCTGTGCCTTCCAGCGTGCAGTCTGAGCTCATCCCCTCACCTTCTGGTGGTCCTCCCACTGGCAGGGTGATTCCAGGCCGCCCCTTCCTGGGAGCTGCCCAGCACTACCCCCTCAGCCTCACAGCAAGCAGTTCTGCTCCGGCCGCACCCGTGCCCAGGAACGAAGGGGTGACTGCGTGGCCAGGGTGCTTCCTC